TTAACCTCCCACCACTCTGATGTTTCTTCTGCCTTGACCGCCTCAATTATTATGCCCCCTCCATCACCACCCTTCCTTGAGCTTTCTTGATCACTTATTTGGGTTACGCAGGGCAAAGAGACTGTTGCGGCTGAAGCCCACTCCGGCCTCAGTGGTTGGGCCTTCTATTTGCCTGGCAAGCCTGCAATTAGCCTGTGTTGTGAACAAAGTCCAAATAGATGAATCTATTCTGAAACTAGACGAGCCGTTTCAAGGATCGGCGAAACAAGCACGTTCCGCCTCTGGGAATCGGGTTGATAAAATATTTTATCAACGAATTTTATTTCCTTTGTGGGTGTAAACTGATTCTTTGGGCCAACAAGTGCTATTCTGCGGCCATATGGTAAGATGTGCGAACAGAGCGGGCCTATCCGCACGGAAACACATATATGGCAACAATTAATCCGTGCTTTAATCTCGACACTAGTGTGTGCCATAAATTAATTATTCCCCCGCAATCTTCTTTTGAAATGCAAAGCTTGCTGCACCAGTTGAGTGAATTGAACAATTACAGGCTGGAAATGAAGGGGAAAGGCAAAAATAAAAGTATAGGTGAATTTTCATCTTTTTGCTGAATGAAAATTACATCGCAGGGATATACTTATACAGTACCTTCTTCGGTCCTAATTATAAGACCCCGTTTATAGATTATAAATGAGATGTTAGGATAGGAGATAGTAAATAATACTTGCTATTTTGATTTTTGAGCGCCAGAAAATGATTGGACTGCTCTGTAGCAAAGTGCACCCCAAAATAGGAAACCCAACCGGTAATACTGAGGCAGGGGCAGTTTAGAATTTAAGGCAGGACCCAAAGCAAAGCCCACTGACCCTGAGGGCTGGACTTTCTGCCGGTGTCCAACATTACGCTGGAGGGAAGTGAACATGTTTGAAAAGATAATAGTGAAGGGAGAAAGGCACATGGGGGTGATAATGATTAGGGTGGCAGATTTGTTGATTAAAAGAAAGAAAGATATTTGTTTCTGAGGGAAGTGGGAAGAGGGGGCATGTGCCCACATGCCTCACCGGGACTCCGTTATCTCATGACATGTCCCCCTTGCTCACTTTAATCTTTACACACACACAACAATAAAAATAATAATTTGTCTCTAATTTTCTGCATTTTTTTTATTTTTAGCCGGTCCATTATTATTCTGTAACCGCATTAATAATCAACTCGCTCATTCTGTTACCCAAAAAAAAAAAAACTCGCCCATTCCATCTCCATAAATAAATATATATTAAAGAAATAAGTCTCATTTAGATCTATATATCTGTTATTTCTAACCAATTTTAATTAATTTCTAAAGTGTACTGTCCAATTGATTATTTTATTTGAATGTTGGCAGTATGACATTTTTATCCCCACTTGTTGTCGGGCTTCTTTATGATCATGATGCACATACCATATTCGAGACCCGAGGGTGATATATATATATATATATATATATATATAAATGCATATTCAGTGGCACAAAATGCATTAATTGGAGGATGAGATCCATATACTCATTTCCATGTCAGGTTTTGCATCGTAAACTTCACATGCTCCCACATGCTCTTCCAATCCCCCAAACCCTCCCTCCGCTGCCTTCCCTTATATCCAAATCCACTCAGCTAATCACACATCTAACCCATCTTCGCTACTTATAATACTGTTAATGACCCTCCCTTTCGTCCTTTTCAGTTCCCCCTTTTCTCTTTCCATGAACGCGCATACTCACTTTTACATCTACGCGATGCAGCGTACCTCATCCATGCAGTTTCCGCCCCACACACACTCCGACTGCTTTTATAAGCTTCCATGTCCCGTTCACTTTTTCAAAACCCGGTTATCTTGCAGAATACATATATGCCCACAACTTCCTTATCATCACTGACTATTCTTTCTTTTTTAATGAAGACTGAATAACACTACTCCACAAGTAATCACAACCGAAAACAGAGACAAACATTAAAACTGATTGTTCTTTCTAGATCCACCCCCTCCCCCCCAATAATGTACACCATTTAAGTGACTCGTTTGAAACTCATCCTCACCATAAATACAACATTTGAATAAAATATTCCATGCCGCCTGTATAGCCATCGAAATTAAATTCAACACATGGTTTCCAGCACCATATATTAATCTTTCCATGCAGCAGAACGACTGTATCCGGGCAAAAAATTATCACTATGTATTTCCCATTTCTAGAAAGCAGTATTAGGACAAGAAACTAAACAAAACAATGCAGAAGAACTCGCCATAATTAATTTGTTTTCCCCTACTGGGGTTTATTTGGGGCCCACTCTCCGCTTGTAGTTTAAAGCGCGGCAAATTGCTAGCATGTGCAGTCTGCATTCCCAGTTCATTAGCTTCTCCACTGGGCCACACCGCCACACTAAGTGGCCTGTCATTTATAATTAGAATACTATTCAGTCATAAATGAATGGTTCGAGCCCAACCAATATTATTCCTACCCTTATTTTCTTATTCAAATCCCCACCCACAATACGGGCGTACGAATCTCAACCTCAGCCTTGCTGCCACACCTTTGAATCTGGGCCCATACACGTGTCATGTTCTAACTTGTGGCGACGCATGCTAACTCTGTGAATGCATGCACCTGATTAATTCTGCGGCTGAATCCCACCGCTCAAAGTTCCTATATATACCCCCACACTCTGGGTTCAGAGATCCCACCAGCCCCGTCCTCCCCTTGCTTTATATACGCGGTTTGCTGAATCGGGAGGATTCTTCAAGAACGGCCATGGCTAAGTTCCTCGCTGCTTTGATCTTAGCTCTCATTGCCATTTCCATGCTTCAGACTCTGGTAAATCTCACATTTTCAAGGCACTTTATGTTGCGAAGCCCCCCCCCCTTTTCTCACATTGTAGTATCCCTCATCTTTTTGCAGGTCATGGCAGCTCATGGGCAAGGAGGCAACTTCTATGATAACAAGGTAACCCGGCCTGATCTTGTCTTTTGGTTTTTTTCTGTCGGCTTTGGTGTGAAGAATCATTTTGTGTTTTCTAATGTTCTTGTGCTGCTTAACTGTGGGTTTCCAGGGACGAAGCCCGTATGGACCCGGCAGTCTCAAGAGCTACCGTAAGTAAAGTTCACTCCTGTTTTTTGCTTCGCTTCATTTTCTCTGCCGTGACTGTGAGCAGCCTTTCTAATCCATGGAAGGTGAAAAGGAACAATTTTTTAATTTTTTGCACTCAAATCCACCAAGTAGTTGCGGGGTAGTTTTCTGTTTCTTTGAAAAGAATCAAATATTTAGAAGGACGTTTTTATCCTCGATTATCGGTCAAATTTACTTGGACTGTAGTCAAAGTTGGGCTTGTGAAAAGCTGCAGTGTTTGACCAGAGTGCATAAAAAGAGGTGAAGGCGGACGAAAACTAACTAAAGTTTTGTGTGATATGACCAGAATGCCCGTCGCAATGCAATAGGAGGTGCGGCCAGACTCAGTACAGGAAGCCATGCATGTTCTTCTGTCAGAAGTGCTGCAGGAAGTGCCTGTGCGTGCCCCCGGGGTATTATGGGAACAAAGCCGTGTGCCCTTGCTACAACAACTGGAAGACCAAGGAAGGAGGACCCAAGTGCCCTTAGGCCATAGTTCTACGATTTCACCCACCTCAAATATCCTTCCGCTTGTGTTGTGTCCCTTGCTTGTCACCCGTTATGACAATAGCTTACTACCACAACCACCAACATATTTCTTTCACATTCTCACATGGTTTGCTCTTTTTGCTCTCTTAAATGTTTTGTTGTGCTCGAGGATGTCTCCTGTTTTAGTCAACCTAATCATAGACTCCTCTGTTATGTTGTCACTCCATAAGGCTTCGCCTTCGATGAGAGTGGCCCAGTCCTATCACTATTATCTATGAAACTGCTGATGATATTTTATATATTTCCACTCGCTTTGTTTCCGGCAAATTATAGTTTGTTGTAGCCCATAACATCTAAGAATCAGAGCAATGGCCTTTTTAGATGCACTACAAGACAGTGTCGAGCTTGAATTAACAAATGGAATTGGGCATAATCAACTGCAAATGAATAAACTTAACAAGGGGAAATAAACTAATCAGAGGAACCCGGATGTTCTAAAAGCCAACAAATGAAACTCATTGCAACGCTTCTGCGTGCTTAGATGTTCCGGCCTCGCTAGTTAAAAGAATGAGAGGGGAAATAGTCAAACAACTTAACGAATGTAAGGATTCACGAATTTTTCAATTTACTCTATTCTTCCCTCTGGTTAATGCTCATATTTAATATTAACATATACTTCATAAAAGTATTATTGAATCAATGTTCTACAGATCCAGGAAAAAAGTAGAAAGGGGGAAACAGAAAGAAATGGATAAAATTGACTTGGATAACTTTAGCAGAGAAAGTGTCAAGATATTATTATCCCTCTTTTATAATTGGTCGACCCTACACCAGGAGGGTTCAAATGCTTGAGATTTATGCTGCTGCTTCTGTTCATGAAAAACACGGGATTTGGTAGAGCATGCTTGCGCACTCTGGGGCCCATCTGAGATGAAAAGGAGCGACAAAACGATTAAATTTACAACACTTTTGGGCTGGGCCAATATTTGGCATTCGTATTATGACTAGGCCCAGTGACTGAGCCGAATGTTAGATCGAAACCCTGAGGTTTCCGCTTTACAACCTCCGCTCAGTTCCTATGTCGTATAATACTTACTGCGCAAGATTATCGTATCAAACGCCTTTTATTTGATGCGACCAAACAACAACTAGATTTTAATTACTTCACTACTACCACAGCACGAAGAAGTACTTACATCTCCATATTTATCTACAACCAAACGTACTGATTCCATAGTTACTGTTAATTAACGAACACAATTAAAAGCGGATATGAACATCTACACACACACATACGGCCATTTGTATACGTATATGTCCCGACCATAAGTTAGTGCGCTTTAGCTTCAGGTTCTCTGCATTACTCTTAAGGATGATTTCTGATCTGCAACTCGTCCCCAGATCCTGATTTTGTTGCAGAATCAGACCCTTCCCTGGAGCACAAGTCACTATGATCGGTTCCTTTCTCGGAAGTATCTCCACAGTCTAAATAAACACAAAATCGTAATAAAAGTTATCCATTGAAAAGAATCATGTAGCAGCTAGGAATTCTCGCACAACCGTCCGCGAAAAGCAATTTACCCGCACTCGTAAATCAAGGACAATACGTAGAACGGAGGCAGTGAAAGCAGCAGACCCTGCGATGCCAATGTTTCAATATTGAATGCCGACAGGTAAAACGTAAATAACTAAATAGATAAAACAATGGAATTGTCTGTCATCCACACTCACAAACATGAAGTAATTGAACATTTTGTCCTGCTGCTGAGGTGGCCTGTAGTAATAAACGTCCCTCAGAATCATCACGATAAAAATCTGCAAGAGCAATTCATTACTAAATTAAAAACCATTTTTTTGTAAAAAAGTCTTCTTAACATGAGGAAAGAGTACAAGTAAGTATGATATAAAGTTGATTAATTTTTACCATTTTAAATAACATGAACATATAATACAAAGAACGATGATGCTTATCCATGTTGTAGGCCCAGAATGAAGAGTTGTTGCTGTGGACGCGTTAATATCAAAGACTAAAAGTGGTGATGAGCATGAAGGCTTACGATGAGGACGCCGGTTCCGCACAAAACACCTCCAGTGGGATGTCTGAAGTCACAGTCTTCATTCAGAGCTGCCGCCATGCGATCAGTCGCCATTTCCGCCAGCGTTAGCGGGGAATAAATCTGTGCATTAGTGCTCGGAATTCTCCACCCTTCCCTGCAATATTAACAATTCCAACTCAGCAAGTAATTAAAATGTGCCGGCGCAACAACGCATGAGAGATCTGTAATGATGTTAAAGACATGTAAAGCTGTAACTGACCTCTCATCATCCTCGTCGTTATTGGAAGAGCTCCGATGCGTCACAGCATAACCTGGACCGTAGGGCTGCATATCCGATCCAAATCATGATAGGATGGATCAGGATTTTAACATGATTAACACACGTAGCTGCTATATATGCACAGAGGTTGGTGAACGTGTGTGTAGTAGTTGGATTAATTCTCTTGTAGGACGATGGTGTCCTTGCCCATGAGAGATATAATCCGGTCCAGTCCTTACCTGGCGGCAGATCTCACAAATGGTGTCCCCTTTGATATTGCACCATTTCTGGATGCAACTCCTGTGAGCATACTAGGGCATGTGATGAAGAGGACAAAGTGTAAGAAGTTTATTGTTGTACATATCTCTGTCGTAGATATAAAGTCAAACTACGTTATGGTTTAACAATAACTGCTCAGTGAAAAAAATAACCAAGATCATACAGTAAACTTAGCATATTAGTTTTGCGTTCAAAAAATATTCAATAATACACCAAAGATGACTTTTTTAAAGCAGTCGCAAGCAAGATGGATATTATACTTCATAATGTGAGAATGAGCTGCTGTCTGGACTAAAAGTTTAGTTTTACTTCCGTCGGTCTGTTAGAAAGACTTCATGTCCAAATGATCCACTGGAAGACCTCCAAAGAAATTAATTACTAACGCCTTTGTTATGCATCTTGAGCACTTGGCAATTAATAAAGCTGATTGACGAAAACGGGACGGAGATGGGGAATACACCCAAAAAAAAGAAAAAGAAAAATGGCCATCATTTTAGTGATCAACACAGGCTACTTGTTAATAATTAATGAGTAGACAAGAAAAATGAAAGTTTGACGAAGTCAAAAACTCGAACGCACAATATATATAATAATTATCACTATAATCGTAATTTATAACGCAATTGTATACGTACACATGTTTATGTAGAGGGACATTAAATATATATATAAATAGAAGTATATATATAAACCTTCAAAGTGCCACTGCAACGGCAAGGCGTATCAAATCTGGAGACGCAGTCCTCGTCGTGACAGAAACGACATTCCGCTCTTGGCCCGCCGCCGCCTCCTCCTTCCTGCGGTTTCTGGACCTTGTCCTTATCATTGCCTGCGGCGGCAGAGCTCTTGGACCCATCAGCCTCCATGGCTGCACTCATTATCTCATCCATCAGAATCGCAATGTGGCTTGGGCCAGACGAACGAGATGCCAGATCGGTTGGGTTGGTCAGAAGCTTTTCAGGACGGATAGTGATGTAATCTTCCATGTCGATCTTTCCTCAGGCATGAAAAGCATGTTTATAAAGTTAAGGTATTCGTTAAACAGAAAGAAGAATCTCTTTTATATAGATATGGATCGGATATGGATATCTTTGTTGAGAACGGTGCAAAGGTCCTAATAATGGTGCCTTCACGTCATCTGATCAAACTAACACACACTGAAAGCCAAGCGTACACCGCTTCACAAGTTTAAGTTGAAAAGGACAAAGTTTCTATTACACACACACACAAACTTTTTCAAAAACCCCTATTTCAGACATGCGCAAGTCATCATGAACCGCATTTAGTTAAACTCATCGTGCAAAACAGAGTATATGTGTAAGAAGGAGGAAGAAAGATAAAACTCTCTTATAATAAATCTCTCCACTGGCATGCAAATAGACGTGAATGACCTTCTCTAGCCATATGTTTTATGTTTGGTGTGTGGGGAAGGAAAAAATTTTAATCAACTCGATTTAAAAAAATTTTAAAAATTAAGATTATAAAATTTTAATAAAAAATATAAAATAAAAGAATAAGAAAAATTAATCAAAAAGTTTTTAACTTCACTTCTTCAATTTTTTTAAATTGAGGTTATTAAAATTTTTTTCCTCCTCTTTTCTCATACCAAATGTATCTTAAAACATTCACACCACTTCATGAATAAAGGGAAGAAATTAAACAAATTAAGCGTCAGAACCCAGTTCATGTTTGGCCAAAAAAAAAAAACCCAGTTCATATATATCTCCACACAAGCTAAGCTTCGAAATGTAAGAAATGAAAAAAGAAAATTAATAACAGAGGATGAAGGAAAATATTCTGCGAGGCCCCGAAGAAAAAAAGTTAAAGCAAGTGCAGCAGTTATCTGCTTTATATATCGAAATCAGCTGCCTAGAGGCTGAAGACTCGTAGCCAGATATGGCCTAGCCACCAAACCACGAGAGAATATGAACAATCAAATTTGAGTACCGGATAAATATAGAAACTAAAAGACTGAGAGAAAGAGAGAAGGAAAAAGAAGGAAAAATATGAAAACTATATATAGTACTCCAAGCTGTTGTTCTCTCACCCTAATTTTCTCTGGCTTCCAGAAATGAGAACTTCAGTGCAGAGGAAACGCAGGCGAGTGACCAGTACTTATCCAAGAGGTGAGAAGAGTCGAAAATGTTAAAGGGGAGATAAAAACTAAAGGCTTCCTGAACCTGTTAGGTTCAGAGTTCCATATGGCAAATGATGAACTATGCGGCTGCGGGACGCGTAACAAAACCTTTCTGCCACATGCTCTGTCTCTTCGTCTCTTCTACATATCTCTCCATTTCCTTGGTTTCTTCTGCTTTCTGTTCCGCAAAGGCTGCTCATTTATCACTCTGCCCTTCCCTCGGTTTCTATTTTCTCCCACGCCATCTCCTTCTCGTCTGAGGTTTATCCTAAATTTAAGACAAAGCAGCCCCCCACCGACAGCTCCTTTCTTTATCTTGTCTTCTTCTTCCACTTTTTTCTCTCCCCATTTTTATGTCTTGCTTCCACACAATATTCATTTCTCTTTCCTCTGCTTACACATACCTGGTTATGTGGCACGTTAACAATAAAATTAAAGTTGGTTTTTCTTTCATGATGATATGCTCTCAAAAGTATATATAATGAGAGATTATTTAATCAGTAATTAGCTGCTTTCATGCCAATCGTATAATCGCCTCGCGGCAGTAGTGACAATATATATTCATATTTGGAAAAAAGTTTAGTGCTAAACATCTGTGCTGCCTATTATTGGAAAGGAACTCTCTTGGAAAGGCTTTTATGGATTACGTTATCTGACTTCATTCATCAATTGCGTGGAACAAGCAGGTGGTGCTTTCATATATTGTTCCCCTGAGACGTATGTTAAACATCATTTTCTTGTTTCGGGTATAATTTAATTTAACGAGTGGATTATTCTCCCTGCTATGCACAAAATCTAACTCAGGCTAGATACTATTCATAAGTCAATTGGCTTCCTATGATTTCTGTATATGAATAAGTATATACACGTCAAGCTTATGCTTGACGCCTTGACCTGTTGCTAAATCGCAAAGTACGAATGACGACTATAGTTCAGGGAACATGATGAAATCTTTAATTACTTAGTTTTCCTATTAAAACTTTTAAGATGTATATTGGTACTGTCTATGTTTTCATCATGAAGCGTATCGATAGTAGTGTTTTTCTCTTTAAGTTGGGCTCTCAGCTGATCTTGTAGATTTTATGGGGAAAAAGAGATGAATTTAAATCCACAGGCCTCTGCTTGTTTAGCCTTGAGACTAATGGCTGTTCAATCTGCTTATTATACCTTAAATATCCGTGTAACTAACTTCAAAGTCGCTTAACTTTTCCCCCTGCGGAAGAGAAGATTCAGACATCCACCCCCCTTCCCCCACCCAAAAATGTTGGAGATTCAGATGTCGATGGATGTTTTAAACCGACAAATTTAATTATCTGATTCTCAGCTATGAATTTTTTTAAGAAGGCCATCTTCAAGAATGTAATACTTAATATTGGTTAATTTATATTTATAAATTTATAAAGGAAAGTCCACTCGGTCGAGCAATTTAATTCTGAGTACGGGAATGGAAGCAACCGATGGTCCACTCTTTTAAATGATACTATGTTTTAATTGATCTAAATGTGCTCTTGATTGAATACGAAATCAGGGACCAGTCATGTCTTAGTTTGTTCTAATAGTTTTGATATACGTTGTTCAATTTTTTTCCGGATATACTGATAATACTTGAAAGTGCTTATTTTTTTATAGTTGTAGACGACATTGTTTTCTTGTTTTCTTATCCGGGAGAAACAAGTCGATTTTCTTCCAAAGTTAAAACAGAACGCAAGCAACCCAGAGGGAGTTCCACGCCTTTACGATTTAGTGAAAGTTCAAGATGAGAGAATGAAACTTGCTTTCTTTGCCGCACAAGGGAACACAGTCGTAGCTAATGATCTTTACCAGATCAGGATCCATTTCTTAATAGATTTTCTCTTCTATTATTATCTTTAAATCGTAATGCCTAGTTTCATCCGTGAAAATTCCTCCTATAGACTTGTTGATATGAGTCTCTAGTTTAGACTATTGGCTGATGACAAATTTTGTTGCTTGTTCAATCTTTGTTGCTCCGAATTTGCTTGCATGTCTATACCATGAAGTTCATTAGCAGAAAAAACAAGGAGATAATAATTATTTCCTGGGACTTACGTTTCACAATATATTTGTAACTGTTCTTTTCAGTGAGGAAAAATATGAAGTAACGTGTTTTTCTCTTCTAATTGTGGGCAATACGTATTGCACATGGTAGAAACAATGATTTTCGCCGAGTTGTTACTCTAGATGGTGCACTTTTTTAAAAATCTGGAACAATGAGTCGTGGAGGCAGTAAGCAGCGTGGTGGAAAAATGGGGACATAAATTCGACCTGGCTGTGTGTCTGCAGAAGCTGTTTCAAATGCTGAGAAGGAATTTTCTGGGATTTCTAATGCATTGAATACCATTCGCCCAAGTATCCTCGATGCAGGGCAGCGATACCAGGCCTCAGAGAAAGCTGCCACAGCCTTGGAAAGGGGGTTAGCTAAAACACAGAAGGGGGTAATGCTTGCTTCACATTCTCAGTAAGGTTACGTTATGATAGAGCTACTGTTTGTGGTCAGACCTATAAAAGCAAAGTCTAAGGGACATTGACGTTTAAGGAATGAGGGGTAGGGTGGCGTTAGACTTTGACATTTCAATAGGGCTCTTCTGGTTACTTTTGCTGCTGCTTATATTAAGGAAAGGACTTTCTTTTGGGGGTACGATGTTTTCTTTCTGGAGTGTGATGCACTTGTGAGGACTGGTGCTCACGGGAGGTCAGTTGGACCTTGCTTGGGCTTGGTTGGTTTCTTTCGATTGCTGTGTTTGCATTAGGGAACAGGATTTTGATCTGAATCATTGAGAGTCCATTGTAACACTGATTCAGTTATTTTGCTATCATGATCAAAATCTCAGTATTTCCCCACTTCCTTGTGTTGTTTCTCTATTGTTTTGCTCTGTTATTGGAATATATTTTCCAGGACCTATCATTTTGATATCGGAGCAGCTAGATCCAGCGGCCAGCAGCTGAGAAGAACGGGGGAGAAGTCTAAGACGGAAGTGCAGGAGTTGAGAGAGGAAATGAATGAGAAGGCAGGGGGACTACGGAGAAACATGAGCATCCTCCAAGAGATGATTTTGAGGATGGATACGACTCTGGAACACTTGCAGAAAACCGTAGCCGACCCAAACGCTCACAAACCAGCAGGCATGCAAGGGGAGGATGAAGCCGACAGCCACCGAGGAAGAGAGAAAGACACAGAAGGTATAGGAAGTTGGAGTTACCACTTTTTGCTGGTGAAGACCCCCTCAGCTGGTTCTTTAGAGTCGAAAGGTACTTCCGCGTCAATGCAATAGGAGAAGATGAGAAGCTAGAGGCAGCCATAGTGTGCCTAGAAGGCAAAGCGTTGAACTGGTACCAATGGGTTGAATCCTAAAGAGCCCTATTGAAATGTCAAAGTCTAACGCCACCTTTTTTTTTTTTAGAGGCTTTGAAGCTTCAGAGAGATACTGAAAATGCTGGGGGTGAAAGATTGAAACTACAGAAGTCAGAGGCCGAGACAATTCAATCAGTAAGCATCTACTACAGTGAGAACAATCTTCAGATAAATTTGACATGATGTATGTGCTAATGGCATTCAATTGCTAGGATATTGTTAAGAATAACTTGGAGATTAACGCCACAAATTCCAAATAGAGACAGGACAAAATATGATTAAGAAGTTGACTAAAGGAATTGAGGAATCTAAGAAGGAGAGAGAACGGCTAGGTGAGGAGAAACAAAAGTCAAAGGCTACCTCAAGAAATAGAACAGAAAGCATTTGTGGTGCGAGAAAATTTTAAGAAAACACGAGGTTTGCCTTTCTTATGGTTATATAAAGTTGCGTTGACACAATAATATGCAGAGTAAACAATGCAACATATCTTTTCGTGTCATGTATATATTACTTCTGCTGTACAGATGCTTGAAAAACACAGAAGTCTTGGATGAAGCAAAATGTGAATACGATCAGGTGAAGAAAACAGTAGAAGAATTGCGTGCTTCTGAGGTACTTTCTCTTGTGGGTGTTTTCTTTTGATTTCATGTTACTTTGTAGCATGAATTTATCTTGGAAGCAATGATTTCCCACGTTGACGCTGACTTTAAATTGAAAGACATGAAGAGAGAATACAAGGAATTGGAAATGAAGGGGAAGGGTTACAAGAAAAGACTTGATGAATTGCAAACATCTCTTCAAAAGCATCTGGAACAGTATGTCATTTGGTAATTACATGGAATATATAGTCTTATATTCTCAAGGTTCTATGAGATTTTAAATTTGTCGCGGAATTCAAGTTGATTTGGTGGATCATGAGAAGGTTCAGGCTACAATGGCTGAAGATCATCTTAATGAATCTTGTGGTCTGAAAAAGGCCCTTGGAATGGTGGCATTGCTGAAGCACAGATGAAGGAGATGAATCCAAATCTTGATTCAATTTCAGAGTACGAGTTTCCAAGTTTATTTTTTCTATCATCTTTCCTTGGGAACTTGCATTGATAAACTTACTTTTGATTATCAGATATCGTGAAAAGGTATTGTTTTACAATGACCTGATTGAGGAACTTAACAAAATCACTCAAAACAGAGGAAGATAAGGTCTTCAAACTCTTTTGTTCTTCGTATTCACTTCATGCATCCTTTTGTGGCAATAACCTTAACTGAATTTGTTATTTCAGATTGGATGAAATTATGGCAGGATTTAATGCCACATCTTTAAAGTTGAAAGAAATGCATCAGGTTTTAGATCATCTCTCTCTCTCTCTCTCTCTCTCTCTCTCACACACACACACACACAGAGACACTCACTCACTTGCTCTCCCCCTCTCACACATACACAATCTTCAAACCCTTTTGATATATATATATATATATATATTTAAAAAGGACATGCTGATTACTCATTTTCCTTAGTTTAAATTGTTGTACTCGTAAATTCTATCACAGTTTGACCCTTATTCCCACAGGTTGGCATGATTTGCATGCCAATCTGATTTTGCATTGCTGGCAATATGGTTCTGGATCTAGAGAACATTTCCATTGAAGTGTCTGGTTTAGTTCCTTTTTCAGAATTTTCCGATCAATGCTCCTTTATTTAGCCATGGATCTTTTATTTGGCTCTCCTTGCTCGTTTATGCCTCATTGAACTGTCTTGTGCACGCACCTTGTAGGGTTGTGACAATTAGCACGCAACTCCTCTTTTGCGCCTTGCAGATGATCACACTTGGAGCCGATGCTGAACTTGAACAAGTGGATTCTTTGGATCCTTTCTCTGAAGGTGTTGTGTTCAGTGTTAGACCGCCAGAGAAAAGCTGGAAGAATATTGCAAATTTATCTGGTGGTGAAAAGTTTAGTTATCAAACTTGTTGGGACTTAATTTTTGATTTGATTCAAATTATGAGCATTTCAAATTATGTTTTTATGAGCATGTCTTCCATTTTCTGGGCTAACATGTAATAGCATGCTGTTTAAATTCTTTCATTTACTTGCAGACTCTTAGGTCATTGGCGCTTGTTTTTGCTCTTCATCATTATAAGCCTACCCCACTTTATGTAACCTTGTTGCTCAATTCATTAAATGCGTTTTTTCATTTGCATTATAATTAATTTAATGGGTTATTTGGTGTGATAGATTTCAAGAACGTATCTATTGTGGGGCATTATGTAAAGGACAAGTTCATTATCATAAGGTTGGTTGGTTGCTCACCTCAAGGTTCTATTTAGGATGATTCTTGGTGCAGCTGATGATGATTATTGTACTTACCATGTTATATTTTGCCTTGAACAGTCTCAGGAACAATATGTTTGAGCTGGCAAATCGACTAGTTGGGATTTACAAGTCTGATATAGTTGCACTAAAAGCATTACTATAAATCCAGGAAGTTTTGGAGCATGTAAAAAAGCTGCTTGATGGGATTTGTCACTAATGATGCTGTATATAGGAGATGCTTCATTGCTGTCTCATGTACTAGTTTTGCATAATATTGTATTATTGTTATTTATATATACGGGCTCTAATTGATGTAACATATTACTGCTGTAACTGACCTTTTCGCATAGTACGAACCTATGGAAACATAAATGAAAGACTGCTCCATCAGATTTGTAAACTCTTGCATGTTTTTGAAAAGTAGGTTTCTTATCTGTTAGTCGTGCTGCCTATATTGTAGTCGTATGCAGAACGCGTTTCATCAGTATATAGTAGCTAAATGATAAATGAACTCAAGAATCGAATGATACACCATTGAGAGATCTTTCGATATCCAGTATTGAGAGTGCCGTGGCTGGGTTTTGAACTTTATTATCACTCATGATTTGTGGCCTGTCTTGGTTTTTAACTTGTTCAGTTTCCCTATTCTTTGAGTGTAGCTCGAATGGAAATGATAGCAGTGAATTGGCTGGAGCTGACTCATCCGTCTCTTTAATAGTAATGTAAGACCATGCTCCCAAAAGTGCCCCAAAAACTGGTCCAACCAGATAGACCCAAAGTCCTTTATAGGATCCACTTGCTATTGCAGGACCAAGTGTTCTTGCTGGGTTCATTGATCCCCCTGATATAGGTCTGCATGGCCAGCGAACCGCCATTAGCTTTACCTATCTGTTTTGAGGGGTGCCTTCATTTTTTTTTCCAAAAAAAAAAGGTGCATGTGGGTGTGTGTACAATGCCACTGCTTACCCTGCAAGGATGCCTGCTATGAATACTGAAGAGCCTACTGCAACTCCCGCGAGTTCTCCAACCTGTTAAGTGAAATACATTTAAGTGGAGGTGCAATAATGTGAATTTTTTGGGGGGACTAGCGTAAAATGATGGTAATAGTAGTATGTTTTAAAAGAAGCAGATTTGGATGAATGTAAGGTGATTTTACAGCTTTTGCATCAGTTGACACGGCGGAGGCGACGAACATCATAGTGAACGTCGCCACCATCTCCATGGCGAGAGCCTGGACATCACTTCCAGAAGGTGAGGTCGTCCCCAGCTGTCTTATAGGGTTCAATATCAACCGCAAAGTAAAAGAGGCAGAAATGGCTCCTGTCAATTGTGCTGCCACGTATACTGGAACCTGCATGGACAGTAATAGATGATTAATGATCTGAGATTACATTTGATACGGAGTATTAAAAATGAGGGATAAGAATTAGAATTGATATTAAAAACATGTGTTAAAAGGATGCTTAGCATGAGTGATTTCTTATCACATGAGATTACGTAGTTCCATATAGATAGGATTGGAGAATACTACCTCCCCTCATGATATTCTCCAATCCCACATATATATACGTTTGTCTAATCCTAAGTATCATACAATTACTCATGCTAAACACTTTTTTAATATAGTTTTACACTTTCAATCTCAATCCCTATTACTCATTTTTAATGTTTCGTACCAAATAGGACCTAAGGATATTCCCTAATCCCTAGAACCCTACAATACAACAGGTGACCCATAAACAGAAATCGGTCAGTTTGGCTTCTACTATGGGAACCGAATGGGTTCTGCCTAAGCCTCCATGAACAAAGACTACAACTGGCTTTCTTCCTGGTGGCGGAGTTATTTCCTTTCTATCTGGTTTTCGCCCCTAATTTACAGAGATAGAGACAATGGCCATCTAAAGTTATATGTAGAATTAAACTTGCTACCTTCGACGTAACTCCCCCCACCCCACCCCCCCACCCCCCTAAAAAAAAAAAAAAACTTCCTTTCTCCCTACCTTCCAACTACAAAGCAGGCGTCTTTTCGTATTACAGGATAAGGTGGATACGCATGCTGTGGGCTTGTGGTCGTGCGGAAGATATTAGTTAATGTCAGCACATGTTCTCCAAGAGGCGCTTTATGATTGTTAATTTATTAACTGCAATAATTGGTGAGGTCCATCCAGGTAGGACGTGGCCCCAAACAAAAACAAATCGGAAACCCCAGGCTATTGGCGATGAGGCAGAGGCAGAGGCTATTGTTATGCTTTGATTCGACCAAGAAGCACGTTACATGCCTCACAAAAACAAAAACCCATCTACGTTGAAAAATTAATACCTTTAGAAGCTCAAATTACAGCGATTAGCAGTGAACATGTAACTACCTGTTTCCATGGAAAATGCCTCACAGCAGCAAAAGCTAAGGACACTGCTGGGTTCATGTGAGCGCCAGATATGTGTCCGATGGCATGGATCACCACAATCACAGCGAATCCTCCTGCAAGTGAAGCTCCTAGTTTTGATATTTTCTGCTCATCAAAAGCATTCAGAGCAGCCGCCCCACTTGCCACAAACACCAACAGATATGTTCCTATAATCTCTGCCAATACCTGTCATAACATAATATATTAATATGTATTGCATCAACCCAAACAATGATGATCATATGTTCCTCATAATCTATACCATATTCCTTTCCTAGAAGGCATGGATCGTGTCTGTTACCTTTCTGAGAAAACCAGGAGGGTAAATCTCTGCAAGTTTTGCAAAGGGAAGAGGAAGAGGTCGTTTATGGGTTCCTGTGTTGTCCGGCTGCTCTCTTTCAGGATTCAAGCTCCACATATTTTGACTTGTCGTGTGCATATATTTGTTTAGAGGAAGCAATTCCTCACAGATTTCGAGTATTTCTGTGACACGCATGGAAATGATCAAAGGGCGCCTTTTATAATGTCCAGGAGTTCCCAAAATCTTTGTTTACGTTCTAATTTAGTTGAGTGCCATATGATCTAGCCTGACTCCACTCGAATTGTGGGATTCTTATTCTGGGCTCTCCATGCGCTTTAAATTAAAATAATCCCCAACCAAAAATCATGGCAATGATATGGATTCGTTGAGTTGACATCTAATAAGCTAGACCTTCCATTTAAAAAATTCACAGAACAAATTTAATATTTTAATAAAAGACGTTGAACAGAGCAAAAGTTAAAATATTCAAAATAATTCTCCATCTTAAAATTGTTGGATGCCAAGGTTTGGCAAAGGTAGAGAAGTATTGCGACCTTAGTAGCCTGTTCTTGCTTGGACCTCAGTAAAACTTTTGATTTCATTTTTAAGGTTAAGAGGGCGGAAAGAAAACGAACAACGGCAAAAATATTAACGCAGGAGAAGTAGTTCTTCTTGTGTTCAAAGATGCAACATTTTTTATTGAAAGATGCCAAATTTACTTTTCACCAACTTCACTCAAATTAAGCGAACTCTTCCACGTCAAACCAGAAATTCCTACTTTGCATTTAAAATGAGATCACTTTTTTGCCAACAAATACAAAACTACATACTGTTTAAAATAGGTAGAACAGACCCTATGAAGCAGTAAGATTGTGCAGCAGGTGTAGTTTTTTTTTTTTTTTTTGCCCCTATACTTGATCACTTCAGGGTATATTGGATTTAAGAAGGCAAGTGGTACATGAGTTGTGGAAGTGGACGACCCTCAAGTGAGATTCTTCAATATCTTGGCGTAATTGTGGATGCTGTGGGTGAAGTCTTAGACACTGTTCGCACGCACAACATTTGGATCGTCTTTCATACCAACATGCTCAGTTCCCCTCACCGAGTTATTATCATTCTCCTGAATAGTACTGTAAGACCATGCCCCTAAGAGGGCCCCAACGACTGGTCCAACCAGATAGACCCAAATTCCTTTATAGGATCCACTTGCTATTGCAGGACCCAATGTTCTTGCTGGATTCATCGATCCCCCCGATATTGGGCTGCATCCAACAAAACAAAGAACTTTCAATGGTTTTCAGTTCTCATCAAATTTTTTCTTATATTTTTAGTTCTTAGTTTTTTTTTTTTTAACTGTACTTACCCTGCAAGTATGCCTGCTATGCACACTGAAAAGCCCACTGCAACTCCTGCCAGCTCTCCCACCTGCGAAGTATGTACACACACACGCACACACACACTATATCATGTATTTTTTTTGTTCGTTTTTTGGGACTAATGTAAAATATTCAGATGGACGCATGATTTGTGTAATTGTCAATTAGGAAATCATCTCACAGCTTTTGCATCAGTTGTGACGGCGCAGATAACGAACATGAGAGTGAAAGTTGCCACGATCTCCATAGCTAGAGCTTGAGCATCTGTTCCAGAAGGTGAGGTTGTTCCAAGCTTTTTCATAGGATCCAATAATAGCCGTAGCGTAAAAGAAGCAGAAATGCCTCCTGTCATTTGAGCTCCCACGTAAAATGGGACCTGCATTACAAGTAATGGCCTGTTGATTTGCGTCTTGACTCCCAACTATGACCATGAAGGAATCAAGTCTAAGAGATGCCATGCATTGGTATTCTTTTTCATGCATTAAGTCAAGCGAGTTCATTCTCCTTTAATTTATATCTCAAATAGTGATAGTACCTGTTTCCATGGAAAATGGCCCGAGGCGGCGAAAGCTAAGGAGACAGCTGGGTTTATATGGGCCCCCGAGATGTGCCCGATGGCATAAATCATCACCATCACTATGAATCCTCCTGCAAGTGAAGCTCCTAGTTTTGATACTTTCTGCTCATCAAAAGCACTCTGTGCAGCCGTCCCACTTGCCACAAACACCAACAGATATGTCCCTATTATCTCTGCCATTATCTGTTTTATTATATATCGCATCAACCCATACATTAATCTCATGAACCCATCATTCAGGGATACTCATAAACAATATCATGTTCCCAAAACAGCAAGAAGGCCAGTGATTTTACTAGATGTACAACCAAGCATAAGAGGAACAGGGAGATCATATAATATAATTGTGATGTGTGATGAGTTTGGCATAGAGAGAGGGAGAGAGAGCAAGGACCGTTTCAGTTACCTTCCTAAGAAAACCAGGAGGGTAATTCTCTGGAAGTTTTGCAATGGAACGACCAGTATATTGCTTCTGGGCGGCAGGGTTTTCCGGCTGATCTGTTTCAGTATTCATGCTGCGCATGTTTTGACTTGTCCTCTGCAGCGTTGTTTAGTATATAAGAGATATCTCACAAGTTTAATGTCTATCACTTGATTTTGCTGCCGGGTAAAGATTCAAGTGCCCTGTATTTTATAATACCCCGGGAGCCCCCATTTTTGTTTGTATTTAATCTAAAATGGAATCTGTTTCTACTTGGGTTTTTAATTGATTATTCGCGATATTGATTGGTGGCACTGGCTCAAGCCTTCATGGATGGAATGGAACCTCACATGTTGTGGAGTCAGCCACGAAGAAATGAATGGACCGGAGTAGGCATAAAGTGACCGATCCACGGCCTACCATTTGGTCTATGAAACGGAGGCATAATGCCTGGATCGTCAATTAATGCAGTAACTGGGCTTAGAACGCATCGGCATTGTTATGTGTTATGACTCGATTCCACCGAGGAACATATTACATGCGACATTGAAGAGCATTTTGCAGGTTGAAAAATCCGAGACAAGCTTGTCTGTTATTATTGAACTATATGGGTCTATATAAATATGTACAGCATCTTTTAAAAACAAGCCTTCTGAATGCATTGGGAATTGGTTATTACTTTGTCTTGAACACAAGCTATTTTGTTTCGAATCCTATGCTCCAAAATGTAAGTTATTTTTATATCATTAAATGCTTATTTTTCACAAATATGTTTATTTAGGTTATTATTATAAAGTAAATTTTTCTTGTAACTGTTGAGATCAAATTTTAGTAGTTTACATTTATTTATATATTTTTTAATTAAAATTATAATAAATTTTGGTCAAAAAAATAATAATAACTAGGAAGAGGAGAGGTAGAGCCAGAGGAGGGGAAGGGTAGAGAAGAGAAGCTACTGCCTTTTTAACATATCCAACTATCCATTAGAAAGCAGTGAAAACTAGGAAGAGTTACCTCGTTTATAATTAAACGGAAGACATTTGCGAGTGATTAATTTAAACAGATCAGGAGTATTGCTGATGAATCGAATTGCATATATATGACCCTGGTCATGTATTCCCGGGAGGTCAGATTCCAGAAATTAACTAGATATATACGATAAGAGCAGAGGAGGAGGGGATATTCCCGACGACACAGAATGAGTTAGTAAATAAAATCATGGAAGAATCTTGAGCCACAATATTTGAACCTTATATTATTCATCAGCTAACCCTATTCATGCATGCTGTTATAATATTCACAATCCATTCGTAAATGGATCGATGAAAGCGATGGAGAGTCAGATATATGTGACATGAGTAAACAGAATTGATCGTGGCAACAGTGTCACTGTGTAAATTCTATTTTCCAGCAAAGCCCGAGTCGTTCAAGAACTCCCATCATGAATCAAGATAAGCATCCTCCCTTATATATATCGCCCCACCACGGCCTCCGTTACAAACAATTAAATTTCCAGATAATTTTCATATTAATACTTTTTTGTTTTCTATCGGGACTTGAGATCATTTCAATTAAGGCGTGTTATGCATCTCTCAAACCTCATCAGGCTTCACATAGCCAGTAGAAATGCTTATCTTATGCTGACCGTCCATTATTTGAGCTGGGCATGATGCTTGGTCTGCCCAGCCCAATTCTAGTTCCGATTTGTAATGAAACCGAAACCTTGTCATGTCCTAAAATGTCAGCACAGCGGGTCAGGCGGAAGACCAATATGGAGCCTTAAAAGCAATTTCATGATAGGAACAACACTATGAATTGCATTAATTATGTCAATCCGCCCCTTTCCACGCTTCCAATCAGTGCATGACAGACCCACCGACGGAAGCGGCCTTAATTATATTTCTTTTTCTTGCTCTTTTTTTACACAAAATTTAAGTGAATCAAATTTCGGAACCCACCAAAATTAAGACATACTTTAGACTCAAAAAGCCTTTATAAAAGTAGTTCTAGATTGCCTATCAACAAGTTCCTTACATCAATTTTCTTTTTTGTAGGTCAAATGGCAGCACTAAGCTTCAAAATTTAGCAGTTCCTCATTGGGGCCAAAAACAAAAAGTGTTCCTAATAATTATATTTATTTTAGCATCCTTTTATTTGGCAACCTTGAAGTAAAGCTCAGTTAGGTCAATAGTGTAATCTAAGGCTGCATATGGGTAAGACTAGGCAGACCAAACCCCATACTTGATGCTTAGCCCGAAAGATGAATAGGCTGCATTTTACAACTCACTGCCTCACCCTACTCAGTAGAAGCCCTAACTATGTTGAGTTAGACAGGGCGGATTTTCATGTCCAACTTAGTGACATCTTCCCCATATCATATGTAAAAAAAATTCAATTATAATTGATAACTCATAAAAATTATAACTATTTTGAAAGATAAAATATAAAAATACTGAGTTCCCTAATTATCTTTTTCTATTTCCCTAACTTCATTTTTCCAAAAAAAAAAAAAAGAAAAAGACGTTATAGTTTTTTTTCCTCACCTTCTATGTAACCATGACATCAAATATATATTAAAAGGATCGGAAGTAAACATTAATATTGTGGGGGATAACATGAAAAGATAAATGCATAAATTTGACACATGGGTAATCACCATCAATTTCAACTATGCGACTTCATTATCATGATTCAAGACAAGGTAAGAGGAAAAGAATTTATCACGAATGACTCAATCACTCATATATATAAAGTTTATGTAGTCTTGTTCTTCAGCCTTCGATTTCTCATGAGAGGAAAAAAATCATTTAATAAATAAGCTAATTCTGTAGTTCAATTCTTTACTTCATTCATATAGTTGGTAGATTCTTATAATAATGTGAAAGCATAAGATTTGAAAGGTAGTTTTAGTTTTTTTCCTTTGTTTTAAAAAATTGGAGGTAAGAGGAAAAAAAAGAATTTGACGAGGAGCGATTTAACACATTTAATCTAATATTTTGATATTTGTCCTTTTATATAGTTATAATTTTTATGTTTCTTTCATTTTTTTCTAATTTTACCTAATTTTTTTTAGCTAAGATAAAAGGGAGATAATAGCTGAAAATAGTATAATATTATATATTATAATATATGTATAATTATATATTGTTGCGGGTAGGACCAAATAGGCAAGGCAACATACTCTGCTCGTGACCCGACCCTGCCTGAAAAATGCTCATCTTTATTTGAGCAGCTTTTTGTTGGGCAAGATTGGATGCTTTTTTTGCGGGCTCGGACGGATATTTTGGGCATACAGGCCTTATACACACTTGTAGTATAATCTTAATTAATCTGGATTCTAGTATAATAGAAAGGAATAATTCCCTGTAATGTGATGAACCAATATTCAAATTATGACTATGAGAAGTTTTTATATTTAGTACTCGACAGAATTTTAAATGTGATTACTTTTAACAAGAAGACTAAAAAAACAAAAACTTCAAAAGCACTTTTTGACAAACACGTACGGCATAGTAGCCGACACATCGTATGGGTCCAATGGAACGCAACACAGTCCATGCCGGGCTCCGAGGCTTCCATCCCCTGAACAACACAAATGGGACGAAATTGCGAAAAGTAACACATACAAGATTACAATAATTTCCTTTACAAAAAGACAATATTATTAAGAAACAACAAAGGATTACATAAAGTCAGGGCCAGTTAAACTAATTGGATGACAGCCCAATAATCTGCCAGAGTTAGAAAGGGAGCCTAAAGCCCACCTCACAGACTAGAGCCCGTAACTCCCTTGACTGAATGAGAGAATCCCGAAACATGCAGAGTGACTGAATGCTTTAGTTTGATATTAATCCAAGTTTTTATCTGTGCGTGTGTGTACGGGCGCGCAGGATAATTAATTAGCTCGGTTTTCTTTGGCATCCCCAAAAAAATTTGTTACTCGTATCATCTGTATATAAAAGGACAAAGAATTGTCCCGTGACTTGAGACTAATCTAAGATCCCGTTTGGTAGGAAGTATTGAAAATGAAAGATTGAAATTATGATTACAATTGAAAAAAATCATTAAAATAATATTTAACATAAGTAATTGCTTCTTATATGGGATTAGGCAAACTCATAGAGACGGGATTGGGAAATACTACTTCCCCCCATAGTATTATCCAATCCCATATACATAGGTTTGACTGATCCCATATAACAAGCAATCTCTTATACTAAACACTTTTTTAAAAGATTTCCTCAATTACAATCCCAATCTCAATTTTTCATTTTCAATGCTTCCTATCAAACGTCACCTAAGATTAATAAAATGAAATTCACCTTACTGACAATATTAATTGAACTTATTAATCTAAAATTTCGAATTATATAAGAAGTTTTCAGTTAGAACTCTTATTAGATTTCATTTAGATTTGAGATTTTTAAGCGTTTTTTTAACCTCGAGAGAAGGGTTTAGTTTTCACACTTAAAAATTTATTTATTGCCTCTTCGACCATATGTCACTGTACTAACCTCCAGTCTGGTTGAGAAGATGCTATCTTCAAATTCAAGCACTTGTTCTCCTCCTTCTTGGTTGGAGAAATAAAACAAAATTCTATCCACGCGTGTAATCAGTAGTCACTAATGATCACGTTAAGTTAAAATAAAGCCAAGGGAGACATATGACGAATTAAGATAATTAAAACACAATCCTGATCTCCTTTTACTTTTAAATCCTATAATTTCTTAGACTTGCAGAGTTCACATATATAGACTTAATTTACAAAATAATTCTTAATTTATAATCAATCATGTCACTTAAGACATGCATTTCCCCTGCTTAGAATATGAGCAACACACACATATATGTAAGAGCCTTATAATCTTATGATATAAAAGCTTCTTTTTATTTAGGGATCACCAGTTCAGTTTCGTTTGTAATTTCAGCTTGTTAGTATCTATCCCTTGGAATAAATAAAGAGTATATCAACTATAAAGCACATTTGGCTATTAGACTAAAGGTAACAAATTATGAGTCTTGCATACAACGATGTATCATAAATAAATAAAAAAATTGTAATAAAGTCTCACCCAAAAGAATTAAATATAAAAATATTTTTTGAAATTATCAAATTAATCTAAAGTCCCAAGAGATCTCTTTACAAGATATTTTATTTGTTTAATTATCAAATTGTTCTTATCTTTTTTTAAGTATGTATTGACAACTCAAAAAGTAATCATTAACAATTTAAAGTGTAACAATTAACAGTTATCATAGCAGCTATTAACAACATATTTTTTTAATACATCACAAAAATGTAATACAAAAATGGAATATATGCATTGTCAGTATCTGCCACAATAGTTATTTATCATTGCATTTTAAGTTGTTAGTGACTGCTCTTTCAATTGTCAAGGCATACTTAAAAAATAAGAACAATTTAGTAATTAAACAAATAAATATCTTACAATGAGATTTATTGAGATTTCAAATTAATTTGATAATTTTAAGAGAGATTTTTATATTTAATTCTCTTAAATAAAATCTTATTATAACTTTTTCTTTAAATAAATTGGCGCCATAAATGTACAAGCGATACAGGGTACGAATTCCATCCGTCGGCAAACCATGCATTTAGTGAGCAACGGTTCTAATTTATTGTCCATACGAAGAATAAGAATACCAAGTGTTTCAAAACAGGCAAAAAAACCTGTTGCCTATTTTAGAATAGGCCACTATTTTTAAATGCTACTCAATACTATCTTCGGTTCTAAACATAAGAGTTAGTTGATTAATTTGAATAGATTAAAAAAATAAATTAATTTAATTATTTATAATAAATATATGTTGTCTTTCCTAAAATATCCTTACTAATCAAATGTATTGACTAAAATTATTATTATTATAAGGATTAATTTGAAATAAAATGTATAAATATAACAAACAAAGTGAATAAGAATCTTATATTTATAATCAAAATAAAAATCAAATAAGATTTTATATTAAGAATCAAAGATAGTAGTTATTGCCTGAAATATCAGGTCAATAGAAGTTACACTTGACAAACTGTTGGCTCTAATCTTAGACTAGGCCCCACTTTTTAGGCTATTGCAATAAAAAATTGTTGCCCTAGCTCTAAAATACTGCAGAGGTGCTTCAAAATAACCCGAAAAAAAAATCAAAAAATTTATAGTCAGCCTACCTTACATCTCAGTGATCATTTATATATAATACAAAATTTAAAAAAGCAAGTATTTTTATTAAAAAGAGTAATTGTAATTCTACTTTCTAGTTTGATATAATTAAAATGAAAAATAAAAATAACATGATCTTTTAATTTACAGCCTGGGTTTATCATTATTTGTTTTGCTGTTTAAGCTGGGATATTCTGACGGGGCAAAGCGATCGACCACCCAAGAACAAATTGTTCGTTGTGAGATCAGAATTAATATTTTACTTTCCGGTATGAGGTATCTGTTAGAATAGCATTACTCAAGAAAAAGTGAATTGGTTGTTGTGAAATTTTCGTCTTTTGGAGATCAAACCCTCAAACCCAATAATACAATCGAGAAATGCCAAAAGAATGAGCAGAAAAGGTAGAAGAGTAGAGAAAAATAAGTGCATACAGGTAAATTATCCTGATTCGGCCCAATTACTAAAACCTATTCAGATTAATTAAGAATTTAAAATAAAAATTTACATATTCCCATTTAAGAGAATATAAGACCGCACACTACTCAATAATCGAATTGATCTTCTCAACCACCCCTACCATTATCCCCTACCTTCTACTATGACCACCTTGTATAAAGGGGAGAGTCTTCAAAGTACCCTTAGTTTTAACTTTAACAACATGCGCACACACTAAAATGCAATTCATGGAAATTAAAATCCAAGAATATACCGTCGTTCATCAAAGTTTAAAAATACAGAATATACCAAAAGCAATATTATAATTATGTGTGCAAGGTCGCGGCTTTGGTATTGCTACTCAACTGCTCATCACACTGATCTCTCTCTTCAACCTTCAAGATCAATGGAAGCCGAGCAGAGAAATAATGGGATGACCTTGAACGGACCCTTGCTGCTTGACGAGCAGCAAAATCATCTGAATAGTGAAGAAACACCAAGTGATTTGGGCCAAGCCAGAAATGGCTCCGCGTCCTTCCTCAAGACCTGTCTCAATGGCCGCAATGCGTTATCAGGTGCTTTCAATATTATTGCTGCTGCTACACTTTCTACATCACTATATATCCATGATTTATTTGCAATATATGTCCACGATGAGAATACAACTTTCTTGGAATATTGGAACATTTTATCAATGTTTTCGAAAGTTTAACCAAAGAATTTTTGTCTGCAACGACAATTGATTGTGGATTACATGCACACACACTAGAAAAGGGTAAGACCACCGGAACATCATTCTAGTGATGAATCTAGAACCACAGCGTTGTTCTTCTCCACTACGATTGTCAAAATGATTCCTCCAGGTGCCACACTATTATATTATTAAGTGAATTACTCTACGTTATCAACTGTGTTGAGAACATAAATTAGTAACGGTGGGATATGTTATTTATGATTCTTCGATTCTGATGAAACTAACAGAACTTATATATATACATCCTGCATGGTTTGTAGGAGTTGGATTACTCTCCATTCCATATGCTCTAGCTTCTGGAGGATGGCTCAGCTTAATTCTTTTATTCTTCATCGCGATGGCAACGTTATACACAGGTGCATTGATCAAAAAATGCTTGGATATGAACTCAGATATAAGAACCTATCCAGATATAGGCGAGCGTGCTTTTGGAAGGAAAGGAAAGCTTGCAGTATCCATAGCCATGTACTCAGAGCTCTACTTGGTTGCAACAGGAATGATAATTTTAATAGGGGATAACTTAAACTATATATTCCTTGATATCGTCATTGAAATAGCAGGCTTGTCAATTGGTGGAAAACAATTCTTTGTGATACTCACAGGCCTTATTATCATGCCTTCGGTTTATTTGGATGATTTAAGCCTTCTCTCCTATGTATCTGCAAGTGGGGTATTTTCTTCTGTTATAGTTATTCGCTTCTTATTATGGATCGCAACAGTAGATGGAGTCGGATTTCACTGCAGTGGGACCCTTATTAATTGGAGTGGCATGCCCACAGCTGTTAGCTTATATGCCTTTTGTTACTGTGCCCATCCAGTGTTCCCTACCTTACATAATTCCATCAAAAACAAATCCCAATTCTCCAATGTAAGTCCTTGATTTGTACAGCGCGAGGAACAAGATTCTTTCTCTGTTCATTATATTTCTCATGAATGCTACTCTATTATATTTACATCTCAGCTCTTGCTGATATGCTTTGTGTTAAGCACTACTGGCTATGCATCGAGGGCTATTATTGGTTACGTGATGTTTGGCTCAGACGTAAAATCAGAGGTCACATTAAATCTGCCAGTAAAAAAGTTAACTTCAAAAGTTGCAATAATATGTATTACTGTGCTGAGTCCACTATGAGGGTAGCATGTGTGGTTATTAGCAGCTTGTTGAGGTTGTCAGTAAGCAGTGGATACTCATTCCCTCTTGTACTCTTACGCAGCCAATTATAGGATCTAATTGCCACGTGAGAAATAATGGTACCCGAAAACGACGCTTCACCACACAGACACGGTCCCTCAGTGCCCCCGACGAAAGAAACTGCACGATGAGGTCCCATTTCTCAATAGACATCTCAACACACACGAAACTATTTCAATCAGTCAAAGGCACGTGGAACTAGTTTTTTATGCCTCTCTCTTGTCATTCTCTAATCCCTACCACAAATGTATTGTTGAATAAATTGCCTTTATTTCCAAAAAAAAATGTTGGAAAGGAAAATATGAATATAACTCTAATCAGACTATGTACCATAATATTATTTAATTATTATTATTCTTACGTTATCACATGTCTGTATGATAATTTCCTCTATATTTGAGTTATAATTCATCAGTTAATTAAAACTAATAAATAAATTCAGATTAGATAATGCAGCTTGATTTTTATTTATTTTTAAAAATAAAACCCTTTGCTTTGTTGTCAGGATGGCATGGATCGGACTTTCCAGAGGAGTGGGGCAAGTCGTGATCCGAAGCACGGAGGACGGAGTCCAAATAGCAGTTAGCACTACATTATCCTAGTTGGATATCGTAAAATGAACATAATCTTTTTATGTACTACTATCTCCGGTATTTAATATAAGACTTTGTTTGACTTTTATTTTAGTTCTAAATATAAGACCATAGTCTACTTTATCTCTCACATTTATTCATTTTTCCTCAAGGTAGTCCTTCTGACAATAATAGTTCTAGCCAATACACTTAATTATCAAGGATATTTTAAGAAAGACGAGACATATTTATTATAAATAACTAACTTAATTTCTTTCCTTAATCTTTTCAAATTAGTCAACTAGCTCTTATAATTAAGACTGGAGATAGTATTATATTTATATTATCATTATTTGATTATGTTTGTTTTTAAGTAGAGATACGAATATCTTATTGTTATACTATATTTGCTCGTCTTAAAACAGATAAAAAATTATAAGACTAAAATTTGTCTTTCTTTTTGAAAAAAAAAATTGTGACACTTATAAATCTGTTCCAAACCCGTTGTGTGGACAAATTTGTGACGAGGACACGAAATTCCATCAGCGACGACTTATCGGTATTACGTGTCCATCATGCGGGTTTACTTGTTTTGGTCTTTGATTAAGCTTCTCACGGCTATCGACTGTCTCTAAGGTTCATGTACGGGATTTAGTCAAAAGAGGAATGGCCATGTTCACGATAAACTCCATGTTTCATTTCTGTCCATATATACTAATATGGTTCCGTTTTCTATTACACCACGAATAGCCAATAATATTCCTTTTGTCGTTTTGTTTTTGTCCTCTTCCTATATGCTATTAGGCCTAAACGTAATGACTCTCTTGTCTATTTCCGTGCCATCTTTTTATTAAGGCTGATGTTTGAGTTTATATATATAGTATTTGACTATATCTCTTGCTGAACGATGCATGGTTGAATATACGATGTATTGAAAAAAAGATAAGCAATTAATTTGATGCGTTCAACTAAAAAGTTGAGTTTAGCACACAAAAAAAAGGGTCAGTTCCTCACAACAAAACAAATTAAAATTTGAATCCTAGTTAGAAAAGATGTCTACATTTAATGTCCAACAATACCTTCAACATGATTAATTTTAATAAGAGGATATCCATACTTAGCTAAAAAAAAATTATATGTGCTCAATTTTTTTTTTCTTGTAAGCACAAGTACTCTTTTATTAGACGCAATCTTTTTTGTGGGCACCTGTCTTGACAGAAATTCAAATTTTAGTTTATTACGAACTAACCTCTTCTACTAGACCCAATTCTTATTGGTACGTCTTCAATTTTGAGAGTATAGTTTTTTTTTCCCTCCTTTCCATTTGCATGAGTCTTTGCTCCCTCTACTACCTTTAAATGTGGGCTCCTTTTGTAAGTTGTTGTGGGTGGAGCAGAGGCCATAGGTTTGTTTGGAATGGCTTATAAGTGATTTTTCAAACATGATTTACGAAATACAAGATAAGTATGTGAAAAGAGTTTTGTCTCGACTTGCGTGAAAGTATTTATAGACGTTTTTGCAACGATGATCCAAACAAGTCCCATATCCTCCCTCATGGGTGGGGCTTGCAATTCAAGGCAGGATGATTTGAATCTGATAGGTCACAACAACCGCGAGTATTGATATGGCTATGCACTTAATCACAGGCAACGTGCTTTTTTAAGTTCTTTTTTTCCCCCTCCCACAAAGATGTCCAGTTCCTTACCATTCTTCTTTCTCTCCCTCTTTCGATATGGAACCATGCATCCAGATAATAACTGCTAATAATCTTATAGCTAGTTCAGTAGTACCTAAACTCTCCTGTAAGTGAGACATTGGGTTCCATCACATTTGTATCTCAAGCTGTGAATGCTTGCTGTTCTGATTTAAAAAGAAAACATCCAAATGATCCAGACATCTAGATATATTTCCATTGTCTCTGTTCAATGGCAAAAAAAAAAAAAAAAAGCCTAACCTCATCACAAATAGTATATTACTCAGATGTGGAATATATATATATATACATATATATATATATATATATATATATAATGAGGAAACCATTTTGCACATTGCGCCCTCGCGAGCCACGTAATTAACGAAGGAGTATCTATTATTCTCCTGTGAAGACTTTTATGCATATAACAATACTGGCAGCCATATTTGATTTTTTTTTTTTTAAAAGCAATGCAAACAAATTAACCAATTACATCTCACCATCCCTTTCATACGCATCCAAAGTATGAAAAACACACATTTAAATGTGAGGTCATATTGAATCTATCCACAAGCAATCGGCAATTACACTGAAACATAATGCTCTTCCAGCTAAAATCCCAAGCAATGATCATTCTTTTAAACAAAGCCTGATCTTCAGCTTCAAAAAGCTTTAAAAAGATGCATTATTGGCTACGTACACGAATTAGTTTTGACATCATAATTCATGAGGGGCCCTTGGTAAAAATAGTCTACCTCGACCACAAATTACCAAAAAAAAAAACCTGCGGGAGAAAATTGAAAATTGAGGTGTTCCTCCCTTCCTAATTCCTATTTTCCGCGGACAATAATGCAATTATTTAATTTAAGGGAACCGCTATTGTCACGATCTTCTTAGACTTTAAAAAAAAAAAAAGAAAAGAAAAGAAGAAAAGGACTCGTAAGTGTCACCTCTTCGAAAGAAAAATTTTTCTTAGAAAACCCCAAAATGATTTTGTAATGAACACAAAATAATCTGATATCCCGCCGCACATGACGATCGAAACCTTTGTTGTTGGCAAGATTGCTTCCATGTATATCGTTCCTGCCCTGTCAATGGACCCATTCGGCCTTATCCCTGGCTTCAGCGCAGCCACATCACGTAAGATTTACGGATTGATAAATAAATAAATAAATATTAATTCTGTTGATTTATTTTACATATTTATCAATTTATCTTAAATTAAGTCTGTTGATATTTTTTTAATAATGATCAAGTAGAAGAAGAAAAGAAGAAATATATTGAGAAAGATTTTTATAGTGTTTAAAAAAACATATTAATTAATTTAACTAACATCTTTAATATATTTAAATTAGTTAATTATATTTTATTTTATTTCAGTTATATATTCGTCTTTAGAAAAAAAATTTCTTAAAAATAAAAATTCAATATCACATAAAATACTCGAGTTTGTAACGCAATTCGGGGGGAAAAGAAGAGAAAGTCCGGTTATTTTATTCACCACATGATATGATAGATAGGCCCGCTTTTAGCGGAGAGCTCATCCGTACAACGCGTGATCTGAATTTCCTACTCATTTCCCCTCTCGGGGATCCAAGACATGAGCAACGAACCAAGCACATCGACAGTTAGACAGCTAATAAAGTGCTACCAGTTTGAACAGTTCCTCAAAAACGTGTCTAATTACCAGTGTTAAATAATTATTTTATTTGAATTAAGAATAGATTAAAGAATATAGCTGAGATAACACGTTAATAATCCCCCATCCTAGACACAAGTTACAAGTAAGTGTCCATTTGGATTAATACCGAATAACTATAATTTTAGATCATCATGAAAATATTAAAAAAAAAATAGATTATCATGAATTTTGTATGTGACACTAGTTATAATCGATATTAATTAATCCTGATTTTTTGTTTGGATATGTCTTATTGACTTTAAGAATTGTGATTATGTTTAATTTTTATTTATTAAAATCACTTATGGATGTATAATTATCAAAAAGGTATGAATTTGATAAATATTATTAAATATAATTACTTGGGTAAAAATTTTCAGAAGAGTGTGGGAGGGTAGATTAGAAAAAATTTAGTTGATAGAAAATTGATCAGGACTCTGCAAACCTATAAATTATTTCTTGATGTTTATCATAAAAGTGCAGTAAAAAGTAAAATTACAATTCATCATGATTTTTATAAAAATTACACAAACAGCATAAACATGCTTTATAATCATTTATTTAAGGAAAAATTGCAATTAGATCCCACCTAAAGAAATTAAATACAAAAAAGTTCTTTGAAACCATAAAATTATTCTGAAGTCTCAAGGGACTTTTTTTGTAATAAATTTTATTTATTTAATTATCAAATTATCCTTCTTCTTTTTTTAAGTTTACATTGACAACTAAAAGAGCAGTGGTTAACAACTTAGGGTGTGATATGCTGAGAAAATGTGTTGTCAAACTAGTCACGATAGTTGTCAATCCTTGCACCATAAGTTGTCAATCATTGCTCTTTCAGTTGTCAATGCAAACTTAAAAAAAAAAGGGTAATTTGGTAATTAAACAAATAAAATTTATTACAAAAAGGTTCATTGGAATTTCAGAATAATTTCATGATTTTAAGGGAGCTTTTTGTATTTAATTCTCTTGGTTGGAACCTAATTGCAATTCTCCCTTTATTTAAACTCAAACAAGTTGATTTGAGTTCTTACCGCTTAACCAAATAGGTCCTAATTAAATTAGAAAGTTAGTTTAAGTTAGTCAAATATAATAAACATATGAAAAAAATTATTTTTAAAAATGTTCTTATTTATAAAGGTAGGAGTAAAGAGAGAAAATGAGTTAACAAAAAGAGATGTGTAAAAAATAGTGTAAAAAATAATTAATGTAATATTACCTCTGGTTCTTAATATAAAAGTTAGTTGACTAATTTTAGTAGATTAAAAAAATTAGTTAAGTTAGTTATTTATAATAAATAGGTGGTGTCTTTCTTAAAATATCCTTTTTAATCAAGTATATTGGTTAGAACTATTATTATTACAAAGATTACTTTAAAATAAATAAATAAATATAAGAGATAAAGTGGATTAGATTCTTATAATTAAGACTAAAATAAAAATATCATGCATGATATTTTATAAATAAAAATAATTAGTATCGGAGGTGTAGCATTATTTAATAGGCCGGCTTTGCTCTGCGCCTACTCATTGTAATCTCTATCTCTTCTGTTCAAAAAATGGCGGCCAAGCACGGAGATGAGGTGACCTTCAGCGTTCCATTGCTGAATGGTGACGCAATACCAAACAAAGCTGAAGCTGCTGCTGCTGCTGATGACCATGCCAGCGACGGCTCCACCTCCTTCCTCAAGACTTGCCTTAATTGCCTTAATGCCTTATCAGGTGCTTGGGACTTTCATGTTCGCTCATCACTCTCTAGTCTGTTTTCATGGTTTATTGGCGGTATCCCTGATAATCTAAAAACTTTCTCGCAATGGAACGATTTAGCGTTCTCAGGTTTGGGTTAAGAATTTCTGTTTTTAACCTACGCTGCTGTTAATAATATCGTCTTCTTGCTTTCTGTATGGTCGTCATACGAGTGGTCCGTAATGGTGAGTTGTGGTGCCGTGTATTTCGTCTCTTATGGCCTTCTCCTTTTAAAATATCCACTCCCAGCAGCGTTCTGTGAACGATTCTTTTTTTGTTGAACTCTTCGCGTTTATTGCACGAGGCAAATGGATCCTGGAAGCTTTCCCCTTTTCAAATGTTACAACGAGTAATTTGAGTCGCATACTGAAAAGAAAAATAGAGTGACATGACTAGCGTGAGACTGGTCCAATAAGCGGTGGTAGCCGGTGAACCATACCAAGGACCGCCTGAACTGAACATCATGAAGATGGCAGTTGCCTCTAGAACCAACATTCTTCTTCGGATCAATTGTTCTTCTTTTGACAAGTGTGTCAATAATTGTTCTTTTTTAATTCTGCTTGAAAAAACAAAGAAAGCATAGGTTTTAATGCGAAGAAGTGAAAAGAAAAGAGAAAGTTTCTTTACAAGTATACCTGCACCTTAAAAGATAAGAAAATTAAGTTGGATAAATCTGAGAGGTTACCTTCATGGTGTGGGGTTGTTTTAGAGTGTTTAAGCCTTTTTCCTTGATTCTGGGATATGTTATTCGATAGTATTTTAGAATTCCTCAATTATAATGAAACTAACGCACAAGTTATTATCCTGCTTGGTTTTCAGGAGTAGGGATACTCTCCATTCCATATGCTCTAGCATCTGGAGGATGGCTGAGCTTAATTCTTCTATTTATCATTGCCATGGCAACATTTTACACTGGTGTGTTGATTAAAAAATGCATGGATATGAATCTGGGAATCAAATCCTATCCCGACATAGGTCATCATGCATTTGGAGAGAAAGGAAGGTTTGCTGTGTCAATAACTATGTACACTGAACTCTACTTAGTTGCAACAGGATTCTTAATTCTAGAAGGGGATAACTTGGACAATATATTCCCCAATACTGTCGTTGAATTAGCAGGCTTATCAGTTGGTGGAAAGCAGTTCTTTGTGATACTGATAGGCCTTGTCATTATGCCTTCAGTTTGGTTGGATAACTTAAATCTTCTTTCTTATGTATCAGCAAGTGGTGTGTTTGCTTCTGTTATCATAATTTGCTCCATATTTTGGACTGCAACGGTAGACGGAACTGGATTTCACCATAGCGGGACCCTCCTTAATTGGGACGGCATCCCTACTTCTGTTAGCTTGTATGCCTTCTGTTATTGTGCACATCCAGTCTTCCCCACCTTGTATAATTCCATCAGAAAGAAACCTCAATTTTCCAATGTAAGTCCTTTCCCTTCTACGCTGAACAGTGTATGTTCTCTTCATTTAGTTCTCATCAATTTTGTTTTATTTGCATTTCAGGTCTTATTAATGTGTTTTGTGCTGAGCACTTTTGGTTATGCATCAATGGCTATATTTGGTTACTTGATGTTTGGTTCAGATGTGCAATCACAGATAACGTTAAACCTACCTATAAACAAGTTGAGTTCAAAAGTTGCAATATTTACTACTTTGGTGAATCCAATAGCCAAGTATGCTTTGATGGTGACACCAATTAAAAATGCCCTGAAAGATTTGCTACCCGGAACTTACCAGAATAGGATCACAAATATCTTGATAAGCTCGGCCTTGGCAATCAGTACTGTCATGGTTGCCCTGACTATTCCTTTCTTTGGATACCTGATGTCTTTAGTTGGAGCAATTCTGAGTGTCACAGCTTCAATTCTACTTCCATGCTTGTGCTACTTAAAGATTTCAGGGACATATAAAAAATGTTGTTTTGAAACTGTAGTCATAATAGGAATAATATCCACAGGTTTAGTGATAGGAATATTTGGTACATACACTTCGGTCCTAAAAATTATCGAGCATTGGTAACTGTTGAGAGTAAATCAGTAGACTACTGGTTATGAGTGGCAGTGTTTAAGTATCCTGAAGGGCCTGATCGTGAAGAGTCATGGTTGACTCTTGTTTTCCTGGCTAACTCGACTGGGCAATAAAGCTGCTCATAGAAAATGACTCGGGGGATTTGGGACTGCAAGAATGATTCTATGAACCCCGCAAACCCGATCGGCTATGGTTTTGGATGAGGATAATTCAGTTGACTCGAATGCTGCTGTGGTTAGGCAGGGAATAGGGTAGTGTTTGTTTCATTTCGTTGTGCCTTTGTCTTTGACTGCTGTTTGATGTAGAGGTTTGTTTGGTATTAATGAAGTATTTGTTCAATCCAAAAGAAAAAAGTAGTGGACTTTTCTTTCTCTACCTTTTGTACCAATAAGAAGATAGCGTAGTACGTGTTTGATTCAGCCTCTACAATCTACTCATGCTGTTGAATGACTACAAAGGAGAATAGGGAAATGGAAAATTTTAGTGATCTTGCATGCATTCTCAAATATGTCCTGAAAATCAAATGCAGGAATATGCCTAACCTGTTATAAATTACTTCCGAAAGAGAGGGGTATTTGAGCTGGATGATAACTTTAAAACTCATTTGCATCACTACATGTTAGTATTCTTTTGGTCCCGATTCTAGGGATACTAGGCTATGGAAAATGCAATGACAAACTTTAAAAGTGGATTAGGTGGATGTTAAATGTACGTGGACAAACTTTAAAAGACGGATTAGCTACATATTGAATATTTGTGCTTGAATAATATAATTAAAACACGGATGATAAAAATTGGACGGGTAAGTTGTGGGATGAGTACTCACCAGCCTTATCACTGTCAAAACCAAAAGAAACACAATGCCAATTCCACTTGTTAACCCTGATATCTTACTTCTTGAAATGAAAAAAAAAGAAAAAGGACATGTATATTACGGCTTGAGGTTCACAAATCACAACCCACAATTTACTGCTGCTTCTGCTAAAAATAAAACAGGAAACCGAAATGATACCAGAGTCGATTGGCAAAGATTTCTGCTCATATCTGCAGGAACACATGGAAAGATAGTCGTCGAACCACGCACTATGAGGAGGACATACCTGATTGTACGGACATTGCCTTCATTAGCGCTAAAAAATGTCATTGGTGACCTCAAGTTAGAGGCTGTAATGGATCAGTGACATGTGTTATTGGATCAAAGGTTTCACAAAATCATGTCTAGGTTACCATTCAAGCACAGTAGCTGAAATATTGGGTATCCTTGAAGCCCTCAATCTTTACTGAGATGAGAAGCTTACACAGGTCAAAATTTGCTACGATTCCTTAAAAACTATCAAACTGATTTAGAGTTAGCACTCTCTAAATTACCTCCTATTCATCCCTCTAGGCATGATTAACAATCTCGTCATGCATAAATAGATAATCACCTTTGACCACATTTTCAGGGACCAAAAGGGGGGGGGGGAAAACCATAGTAGTTAGTCACTAAATTTTAAACCACGTTTCCGTGCATGGTTTCTCCACAAGGTAACCAAGCTGTTGATTGTGGTTGAAGTCATAGCTACAAAGGTGATGCACCTGCTGGATTGCTTTACCAAGATATCTTGTGGCAGATATTCTTTCTCTGGATATCATTTGAAAGCTGGAGCTTCGCGCGCGCGCGCGCGCATATTGGAGGAAAGTGATGATGTTGGTTGATGCTGACTCGTCTCTCTGTTTTCTTATCTGTATGTGCTGTCTTCCATTATGTGTTGTTTTAGTGACATATCTCCACGAGGATGAATATTTTAGAAAAATTATGAAGCCCCTATTCTTTTTGAGAAGTGGTCCGCACACTTGTTTTCACCTCTCTATAGTGCCACACCCATCAACTAGGAAGGTTATATTTCATTGTCCTGTTGTGTTAGGGAATCAAAACAGAGTCCATAACCATTACCAAAAAAATAAGTAGAAGATTTCATTATGCATGGCTCACTTTGTCAACTCATTTTCTCGGATCCTGTGATGAGCACTCTAGACTTATTAGATCTAGATTATTCATATCTCATTTGAATGATCCAGATTTAGTTTTTTTTTTTATTTGTTTAAAATAATTATTTTAATATGTATAGAATCTAAAATAGAGATAATCTCTTAACTATCTTTTTTTTTTAAAAAGTTTTTTTTATTTAAAAATAATTAATTAAATCTTTTAAATATGGACTATTCAAATCAATTATAGACAGTCTAGATCTGATGAGCTTAGAATGCTCATCAAGATAATGAGCACTAAAATTGGTTCCCATTTTCTCTTTTCTTTTTTATTATGCTGCATGAAGGTTATATTTCATTATTATGCACATGGTAATAGGGAAAAGAAGAACAGAGGAAGGACAAACAAGTCACAACAGGAACGAGATAACGTGAAGGAGAGGCTGCAGATAAAAAGGAAGTTTAAGTTTTTTTTTTAATGCATAACTCCTTTATGAGATCTATTTCTCATATTTAAAATATTAAAATTTGAAATTTAAATATAAATTATGATTAATTGACCGATTAATTTTAGGCCTATAACAATAATAAGTCGGCCCAGTACTCAATCCAACAAGTTGCGACATGAGTTATATACAAGCATTTCTACCAAAAAAGAAGAAGCTACACATAAGCATTAATTTCCTGGGAAAAAAAGGACACAAGCCATTCATGAAAGTATGAAACTAATATAAGTCCATGCAAATGACGGCAAATTTTAATTAAATTCAAATGATATATATATATATATATATCAACCCTTTATTGATTTTTTTCCCAAAAAAAAAAGACACAAGCTATTCAGTCCTGTGATGAGGTCAAAAATGTGCCAAGCTGCCAACAGTGAGTGCTCATAATTCTTTTGAGAAAAATCATTTGGCACCTAAACTATAGTTTTTCTTAATTTTTAATTTCGTACTTGTCTTTTTTCATTTAATTAAACACTCTAATTTTACTTTGTTAACATTGTTAGCTTTTATAACTTGGCTTAACCTCTATGCAAGAACTAATTATGTTAACGAAACAAATTATAGTGTTTAATTAAGAAGGTAAATTATACAAATACCAAATTAAAAATTAAAAAAAAATTACAGTTATCAGCAAAATGGTTTTTCTTTTTTTCTCTCCTAATATGTTATATGAACTATGGGTTTAGAATCTCCACTATCTTCCTACTACATGCAAGACTGTTGGGAAATAAAATTCAATATCAGGAAGGAGATCCACAGTACGCGTGCGCGCCTGACAATTCTAAAATAATAAAATATGCGTAACGCGTGTTAAAACGTTGAAGACATAGGAGAGACCACAAATATTCTCTCCGGCCGGAGGGATACATATTTTCCAAGGGAAACAAGGCTAAGAACTGAGGCAGGCAAAATCTTTATAAGAATCATGGCTATGTATAGCTAGGACTATATTTTAAATTATCATAACACGAACTAGAAAAACTGGGAAAAGCCAGAAAGTAGACAAGGAGTAGAATAAATGCATAATATCAAATAAAGACAGACGCAGACAGAACATTAATTAAGGAGACATACAGCCGACGCCATGCCTAGAATTAGGAAAAACAAGAAACAGGCCACTGCAAACTATTCCGATCATCAACGGGAAACTCTCCATCACTTGGTCCATCTCTTTCTCGTGCCCTGGAAACAAACAATCCGTAACCCTGTGATCCGAGAAAGCGATCGCCACGAACACCATCACTGACATTATCGCATGCACAAAGTCCGTCAACCCCACTTTAAACCTCTCGTCCTTGGGCACCTCCACATTAAGGCCCGGTTTGAAAACGGACAAGCCTTTTGGGGTGACGAAGCCGTAGTAAACGGTGCCGTCGGGGCCGCGAAAGCTGTCGGTGAAGTGGAAGAAGAAGCAGGAGAGGGCGCAAAGGCCAAGGAGGAGGTGGATCATCAAGGAGTGCACGTCGGAGCAGTGGCCGGATTTTGTGATAGTGGGAAGCACCATCTCGAAGGTGAGGAGGGTACCGTAGGGAGGAAGTTAACAAGCATGGAGGTCTTGGACAGGGTCTTCTGGACGCCCTTTGCAACGGCACGTCTTTTCCGGCCACCTTCTGCGGGAGGCTCACCGGAAGTGCCATCGGCTGCTTCGTGTGGTGGAGGAGGGTTTGCATTGTACACTTTGATTCCTATTGCTTCATCAGTTTGATCCATTTGTCGCTCCGCCAAAAGACTCACTTCTGACCAAGTGAATAATGTGGAGGGGCTTAAGGCGGTTCGTACTTAACATATGGCGGGGGCAGTTCCATTTTCAAAATTGTGGACGGTTATTGGCAGTTATTTCTAACCGTTGTCGCTGTGCTTAAGTAGTGTTCGATTCTACGTCAATATGTGGCAGATCAGAGCACGCATCACCTAATTTCGACTGATGAAATAAGAAGTTTGTCAAATATACATCTATAAATTAAAGGTTTACATACACTTTGATGTGGTTTTTTTTCCCCCCAAAGTAGTAATGGAAGGTGAAAACGGAGAGAATTTTTTTTAAATAAAGTATAAATTACATGGAATATCTTATTTCAAATTGTTAGTATTTTTTACATAAATAAAAATATAAGTAGAAAATTATATTCTTTTGATAAATTTTACAAAAATTGTAAAACAATTCCTCTCGTGAGAAATGCAAGTTAAAATGCTCTAAAACCAGAACAATTAACCATCTACGACACAACATGTCGGAGATTATTTGTCACTGTTTAAATTAAATAAAAATTTTACAAAAAGAAAATTTGAAAAATGAGAAGACATATTTAAAACTCCTCTGGTCTTTAATATAGGATCCAATTGTTGAGTTAGTTTTGATCCTAAATATAAGACCCATTTTTCATATTTATCAATTTTCTTCAAATTATTCTTATGAATACTCCCTCAACCATAATCAAGTAGAAGAGGGAGATGGGATATTAAAAAAGATGATTTTGGTGTTTCAGGAAAAATGTGTCACATTTTTTATAATTATCTAACTTTCTTAATTTAATTAAATTAGTTAAATGGGTTTTATATTAACGACCGGATGAGTACCTATATTTCTATATGTATAGTGAAAGTTAAATTGGGTGAAAATAAAAGAGGGTTTTCTGGCGAGAAGAAAATAAAGGAGAGTTTATTTTAGCAAATAAGCGCATAATGAAGTGGGAGCAATCTGTGAATGCTAATTTTAAAGTACAAACAGGTGAGATGGGTTGTGATGTGATAACTACAATAGTGTATTGGTCTTTGAAAATGCTTCCCTCTATAATATCACCTTCCCCTACCTTCTCCTCTTCTCATCACTCAGGCCTTCCTCACAATCACGATGTCTTCAGAACCCGGCTCGTCGGCATCGTCGTCTTCCCCAACCGCCGATGAATTGGACGACCACCAGATTCGAAGGCTTACTCTGCTGCTTCCTTTCATTTTCAGGGTAGCTGCTCCCCGTCAAAACCACCACGACAATGATTCCATCCTCGATCTTCCCCTCGGGGTCATCCTCTTTAACCCTGCCACCAGAACCACCGTCATGATCGACCGCTCCCTGGACTTGGACTCGCTGATCGAGGAGGTCCCCACCAAGCCCGGGCTGTTGCCCGCGTCCAAGGATTCCATGGCGGCCATGCCCACCGTCGCGGTCACTGAAGAAGATTCTGAGTGTGCGATTTGCTTGGAAGATTACGTCACCGGGGAAGAGGCTAGGGAGATGCCCTGCAAGCACAGGTTTCACCCTCGCTGCATCGAAAAGTGGTTGGGGATTCACGGCGTGTGTCCTGTTTGCCGATTCCCGATGCCCGTGGACGATAGGGACGCCGAGCTCCACAGCGGCGAGACGACGGAGAGTGATGGCGACCTCATGCATGCGGGTTCCAACCATTCCCGGAGCTCCGCGCATTCTGATCCTGCTTCTGATTCACAGATACGAGAGTCCCAGAGGGGATGAATCCTCGACGAGTCAAGGGTCAGCAAGCATGTGGAATCCTGAACAAGTTTTTTTTTTTTTTTTTTGAGACCGTGGAATCAAGGACAAGTTTGAAAAAGCACGCTGACATTCACATAGCAATCTGGCTCTCCTTTCAGAAAATAGGTATAGTGTTTGAATAGAAACCAAACTATGATTTTAGAAGTGATTTTATGGTTTACGAAGTAAATATGTGAAGGAATTTATCTCGTTGTGCAGAAAAATGCTTCTAAAACCATGGTTTAAAGGTTGCCAAACACCCCTATAATCTCCTTCTCTTTCTTTAGATATGTTTTCGAATCATTTGATTTTTGAATTTATTCATTTTCTAATATTCAAACATTTTAAAATAATGTAGGGAAAGAGTTTTGAAAAAAGGTTGCAAAGAATTCAAATAAAATACACAGAGAAAGATCAAAAAACAGAACGGTATAAATTCATGAAACCAAATTAAAATCAGATTATTACTCTACGTAAAATGGTTGTCCAGATTTGATAGGGACATTAGTTGCCGTGCAATTGCGAATTTGCGATGGAAGGAAAATAGCTTCTGTCCAACGCTAAACCTTAATCTTGCTGTTAATTCAGCTCCAATGGCCTTTTATTGCTATAACATATCCACGTTGAGTCCACGTTCTTTGTTCCTCGAAATGCATGTTCTCATTCTCTCAAATTGAGGAGGGCGTGTTTGTTTTTGTTCTTTATTTTTTTTTCTCAAAACAATTTTATAAAATTATTTTTTGGAACAAGCTTTGAAAACAAAAAACCAAAAAATTTGTTTGGATAATAATTTTAAAAAATTATATTTGAAAAAAAATTATAAAAAATCACACTTAATAGGTAACAGTTGTCACTAATAATGATAAATGGTGGATATTAGATAAGAAGAGAAGAAGATTTTTCAAAATTTTTCAAAACAAAAAATAAAAAACACAAAAAAAAGAAGAAAACATGTAAAAATTGTTGTGGTTTTTTAGATTTTAAAAATATGTTACTGTTTCTTGTTTTTTAAAACAATTAACTAAAGACAAATTACCAAATAACTTCTCTTATTTTTTTATTTTTAAAAATAATTTTTTTCCAAAATAAGAAATCAAACAAGCCTTTTATTCTTCGTGTTCAAAATCTTTAGAGGATTGGTGTTTAATGAGAAACTTTATTTTCTCTAATTTTTCCAAAATAACATTATATTATTCATGATTATATTATAATTGAACGCGGCCGCCATATCTCAGAACCCTCCTATAAAAACACCGTGAACAGAGCAAGAGACTTTTGGGTTTTATAACATGAAAAGTACCTGAAGCTACATGGCCAATGCCAAATAAACAAGGTCTTGATCAAACTGCATATGGCCTTCTTCTCCTTTTTTTTTTTTTTTTGAGGGGGGGCTGGGGGGAATAAACACAATACTAGTTCGAAAGGACCTACGAGAACATGCATTCGAAGTTGGCAATTGATTGAAAATTAATCTGGTGACAGAGCAAACCCCCCTAATTTCTTTGTCCGATAACTATTATTAAGTCAGTATCATAAATAAGTAATCTCCAACCCTCATTCTATTTCTGCTGGATATCTCCATTCTGTGCGTTCTTGCCACAGTAGTTGTTATCGTACACATAGTGAAAGTGATGAATAACTGGCGAATGTTAACGCTCATGCTTTGGGCCGCTCACGTTTATCGGGGAACCTGCTTTTGTAGGAATATTTCCCTCTTTGTCTCGGACGTTTACGAATGTTATTTGTAGCCGAGTTGGTTAACTCGCTGCTCATGGACGGAAAAAGGTTCAAGTTCAAGAATGAAGTGTTTTTCTGTGCCCACTTCGAGAAACAAGCATGAATATATCCCAAATTTACTCCTAAAATATTATAACTCTATCATAGGCATATATACTGATTCACAGATTCGAGGGGAGAAATTATGTATCGACAGAAAGCGACAGCTACTCTACCCAAAAAACAAGGAGACGGGGACCATAATTCATAAAATGGCACCGTTTCAGGAATCACCAACGAAGCTTGCCTCGTCCGCTAAGAATGCTCAAGTTACTTGCAGTTGCAGAGCAACAGAGGATACCAAATTTCATGAAGGTTGAAATGCAGGAGAATATACATGACTCTTTTTTTTTTTTGGGTTGGAACCTAAATTGGTAATGGGAGATGGTGTCAAAATGTAATTTTGTTCTTTTGGCCAAAAAAAAAAAAGTAATTTTGTTCACACTTTAATTCATTAGCGCTCCCCCAAAAGGATTAATTAGTAGAGATATGTAACCAATAGAATCTCACTTTGGAAAGAGAAATAAAGGAAAGCCAAAATAACTGCACAAATACACCCGCAAGCAAATAGGAAGCTCTATAACAGGAACAAACAAAGACACTAGACACAACAGGGCAATGTTCAATGAACTAACACAAGGCAACAGAAACAGCACATCGTGTGAAGAGATGCCAGTAAAAAGCAAATTCATAAGGCTCGAAGTTCCCCTCGATCGCTCTGATAATATCAGAGACTTCAATTTTCTGACCAAGCAATTCAAATGGGACACGAGTTTACACTTTGTAATTGGGCATTTGGAACACGTGGATGGAATAATGTAAGTTGTCCCTGAAAGTGAACACCACAACTTCTACAGCTAATCAACATGTGGGTGTTAACAGTGAAATCGAGAAAGCAGATAAAATATTAAACTTCATAAAATCAGAAGCAGAACAACTACATACTCTTGTTATCACTTATCAGGGAACAACTGCATACCCCACACCCAACTGCAAAACGTGAGAATATGGCCCACAGCCATCTTTTAATACGATCATCACGAAGACGATAGAGATGTGACGATAAAGAATAAGAGACATAAGACACCCGAAACAAAAGGGTGAAAGAACAGGGATTTGTATATGCCAGTGGAGGGAACCGAATAAAAGTGTGTTATATTCTCAGGTATAATTAACTTTATGTCACCCACAATACCTTGCAACTTTATTGCCCAATAGGCTTATTTAAAGATAATTTAGTTCGTATCGGACTGGTGGGAGAAGAGAAGGCATGGTGACTACATTCTATAAAAGATTATTCCTAAACGCTCTCATGTGTCAATTCCCTACCTCTTGATCTTTCGCGGCTTCTTTGGACCTGGAACTTCTAGTTTACCAACAGAACATCCACATCTTGCCCGAAGAATCAGAACAGCTCTTCCATTGGGGGGTGCTATCTTCTTCAGCTCCAATTCCAGTTCTCGATGATGATCACGAGGCAGTTCAAAGAGGCCCTTTTTGATTCCTTCGTTAGGTGAATTCCTTATACAATCCTCTGTTTCCAACTGAATATCAAACTCAGCAGCCTTTTTCAACCCCTTGCAATCGGGATTCCCGCATTTCCTACTCGTGCATGTCAAAACTCCCCAGACAGAAAATGCAGCAAGAGAAATGCCAAATCCTACGTACATATAGATCGGTGGCGCAAGAGAAACCTCTTCTTTCACCGCATATAGAATTGCGCAAGAAATCTTAATAGACCCAGTGACAACATAGTAGATGAATGGAAAGAACAAGAAACCGAACGCGCAAATTGCAGCAATGAATAACGCCACTTCAACCACAGCCCATCGAGATCGATCGCATGTCACAACTTGCGGAGTATTGGGGGAAGTGGGCATCCTTCTATTCCGCTGTGTGCTATTAGTTTGCCTCGAATTAGAACCGATTTCGTAAGAAAACCCAGAATTCGCCACGACAGGGGCTTGGTCAACGGGCTTGCAGAGCGAGATTGAGCTATGGAAATAGACCATCTCAAACGGAACCGAAAAACAGAATCTGGAATCGAATCCGCGATTGAAGTCCACCAGATTAAATTGCAGATCAAAACCACCAGTCTATATCAAAATCGGATCGACCACATCGGAGATGATAAAAAAGATCGAAATTCGTCGGAACCCAGACGCATCAAATTTAAAATTGTTGCTCCGGGTAACTTCCACAGCCGAAGTTCAATACTTGATCCGATCAAAGTATTGAAATAAAGTAGAGATAGAGAGAGAGAGAGACAACGGATTGGTGAACATGTTCGAAGTTAGGAGTGAAGGAGGGGCTTAGGCCGGCTGAAAGCAGAGCAGAAGAAAAGGAAGCGCAGGGTACAAAGGAAGAGTCATCGCTGATTTATGAGGGAGGGGAAAGCTCGCGTCGGACGTGAGATGGGTCGGCTCTTTTAATGAGGGAGGAAGAGGTCAGATCGAGTCACACACGCCAAGAAAATACAAGGACACGTTTTGCTGAGTTACGTGGGCTCTATGGAACTCAATGGGCATGGATTCTCCTTTTAGCCAACCACTTGAAATCATGCCTGAATCATTTGGTGGGCCATCCTGGGCTTTCAGTATTTCTCATGTTTATGTAAGTTGCAATTGCAGGTCCTCAGATCAAACATCCATCTCAATTAACACGTATGAGGGTTGAGATTTGAACTCTAATTACTTGCTTAACTGACGAAAGTTTATATTACTCCCGCCAGCGTGAGATGGTGAGTAAGAATCCCAGAGTGGAACATTAATCGTTCTTTTGGTGGATATATTTGGGTGAGAATCCAATAGGTCATCGGGATCTCTTTACTATGCAAAATGCAATGACGTCATCAGATTTAAATAATTATATAGTTTAGGATAATAGTAATCGGAAAAAAAAGGGGGGGCACATCTGAAGTGCAAAAGCATTGGTCTTTTGTGCTCATTGACACGATACATATTCATGAGGATCATAATGAACGAATTGACTGATGGGGGTGGGGCTCAATAGCGTGGCCCCACGGGGGCCGATCATATTGGGCACCGGGCCAAAAGTTGGAGGCATGAGAAATTAGATGCGGGTCAACGTAAGCACATGAGGTGGGAAGTTGACAAATAACATATGAGCGTCTGAGTCCAAAAAAAAAAAAACATATGAGCGTCTTGCTTGTCAATTAATAAAACATTTATTATCTTGATTAGCACTCTAAACTCATCAGATATTAAACGTCTATATCTGATTTAAACAGTTTAAATTTAAAATATTTAGTTAATTATTTTTTAATAGAAAAAATTACTTTTTAAAGGAATAACAGGTAAGAGATCAGTTCTATTTGAGATTTTATACATATTAAAATAATTACTTTAAATAGATAAAAATTAAAAAAATTAAATTTCAATTATTCAAATAAGATATGAATGATTCGGATCTGATGAGTTTAGGGTGAAACTGGTTTAATTAAGTTGGAGAGTGGTATCCGACACACCACACGGTTTCAAGTGTGAAGTCAATGCCGTCGCGTACATAAAAGATCATTTCGGGATTTCCCATTGACTGACATGAGGAAATGTAAATCAACGAACGCAATGGGCGGCTCTTGTTTTCAAGTCCAACCGCGTCGTCGTCACAGGATGAGTTTCGAGGTTTCGGCCATTCCCAGCGATTTCTCATTCTCCTCACTCCACCAATGCAGAGTCAGCCACAACTTCTCAGTCCCAGCTCCAAGTTAATGATGAGTCGACTTGTGACAAATAAATGAAAAGGCGTGTACACGAAGCCATGTAAAATGATTCATATGACTCCATAATTGCGCGTTAAGAGTCAACATGGGTTAGGTCATTGGTAATTACTGGTTGACAGCTCCTGAGACGATTCTACATACACGCTTTATGTTTATTATCAATCACTAAACCCAGTGAAAGGTCATCGATCCACTACTGCATTTATTTTATGGATTTGCATTTCAATGTACCGTGTAACACAACAGCTCGCCTAACTTTGAATCAATCACAGTACTAGCTTTAATTATTGCTAAGAATAGAGGTAGAACTAAGTCCCCTGAAAAGAGGTTAATTATTGCTATTATTTTTATTTCATACAACTTTTCTTACCATGTAAAAAAGTAGCATCACCCTTCCCTCGATAAATTCAGTGAAAGGCTGGCGAAAAAAAGAAGAAGATAAATGTCAGTGAAAGCAAATTCATCATCAGGATATGATCTATTTTTTACAAAAAAAAAAAGTAAAATTGACGAAAATTTATATCTACAGCTCATACCTTAGTTCCGTCGCTCCTCGTATAAATCCAGGTGATTCCGCGCGTATTTTCTGTATCGGGCCTGTGAGCCCACATCTGGATCAAAACCCAAAGGACTGATGTCTAATTTGACCAACCTGATTGGGCCCAATTTGCATCAACTTGATGGCCCAATATCCACAAAACTGCATTTTGAATGAGAGTTGCTGTTGTTGATACCCAAAATTGTGGACACCCGGATATCTACATCGCCTGAAAAAGAACCTCGCAAGACAGGCTTTGAATTAAATAATATATGTACACTTCATAGCTCTTTTTCCAGGAGGCGCGCGTGTGCGCGAGTTGAAGACCACCTATTGCATGGGGTATAAAAGGTAATCAAACGAAGGAGGAGCATGTGATTGCTTAATATACCTCGGTGATTCTTTTGTTTAATATCTCTATGAACTATCAACAAGTGTTACTCTAAGTAGAAGAGATTTGGGCACTATAAATATCATGTCCTGGGTTTGATTCTTAAGATGGTATGTATAGAAAAAACACTGCTGAGAGGAGTCTCATTACGACACCTAACAGTAATCCAAGAGATTAGTTTTTTGCTATTCGAGTAGGAAGATATTCTGGGTAACTAAAAAAAAAAAATCACTATGAACTGGCATGTGCATGGGAGTTTTTCTTCTGTTTATCCTCGCATTATTTTTGTTTAAAAAATGAGGGAGGAAGAGGGAAGAGATTTTGTTTATCTTTCCACATTGATGCCGGACGCCGAGAGAGCAGCGGCCTTGGGAAGGTGAAGGGAGGTTGATGATGATGAAGATGATGACTTGGCAGCCACATCATCACCTGTTAATTTACACATATGATGACTCAGTTTTGAGTTGGATGAAAAGGATCATTTTCTAAAAACTTAAAAAAAGATGATGACCAGTTTTAATTGAGTCGAGTTTGGGAATTAAGTTATAAACGAGGTTAAAATTGAAAGACAAAAAAAATCAATTTTTCCCCATAATATGTATGCTTATTAAATGATGACGATTCTAGTGGTATTATTTAGGCAAAATAAGAGGGAACAAACACTGACAAGCCGAATGAAAAAGGAAAATTGGAGAAAAATTCTCCATTTGAAAAACGGCGGTCAATAAAAAAATAATTTAGAATATGAACCCATCCATATGAATGAAACCCAGTCAAGGGCATTATTTTGAAGTCAAGGAGTCATTAAAAAAAAAAAGAAAAGATGGGGAGTCAAAAATAAAAATGTGCTGGAACTAAACTGGTTTAGCTCAGCTTTTTTTCTTTAAAAAAAAATACACAAGGGAGGAAGGGGATTTTCGAGTTGTAAAGACTGTTCTGGATGGATAATGGGAACCACGTGTTGGATTAATAGAACTAGATGGGAAGCTAAAATCACCGATCAGGCGCGGCATATAGCTGGATCCGAGGGGGATTTACTCGCTGACACGGCTTTCCATTTCTTTGCCTCTCTCTCTCTTATCCACCTCCCAGTTCCGCACCTTATTTGCCATCCTACTTCAACATCCATATCAGCTCTTTCTGAAATCTTAGCACTAATTCAATTCTCTTTTATTAAAGGGAAAATTACACTCAGGTCTCATGGAGCACAATTAATATCAACAAAGTCCCTGAAAATCGCAAAATGAATCTGAAGTTCTTAGGGACCTGTGTGTAATTAATTCTAATTGTGAAATTACCTACTTACCCTTGTTAATTTTATTGCAACAATTTATTTACAACCTCAACAGTGGCTGTTGACAACCCGAGAAGAAGTGATTAACAACCTTGACAGTGCTCATGACAACTCACTCTGTGGGATGATTGTTGACAACCCGAGAAGAAGTGATTGACAACCTCGACAGTGCTCCTGACAACTCACTCTGTGGGATGCCAGGGGCGTTGCTGAGGTTGTTAACCACCTTTTCTTGGGTTGTTAACAGCCACTATTGAGGTTGTAAATAGGTTCAAATTAATAAGGGTAAGTAGGTAATTTCACAATTAGAATTAATTACACACAGGTCTCTAAGGACTTCAGAATTATTTCGCAATTTTCAGGGACTTTTTTGATATTAATTATGTTATGTGGGACCTGAGTGTAATTTTCCCTTTATTAAAATGACCATACTTATCCAACTAAATCTAATAAATAATTAAGCGAATGTTCATGCAGAAAATTGAAAAGATGAAAACGACAAGCATTCATTCTGGAGATGTGCATTTTCGGTATTATAATTAAGGAGGCGGTGTATTTCAAACTATAGGTAACGATTTCTATGATAAAACAACTCATTATACTCTATATTCATTAAATACAAACTCTTTTAACGTGAAAAAATGAATGAAATTTAGGGTAAACAAAAGCGGAAATGTCGTTTTGATTTAAATGGAATTTATGCAGGATGATAAAGGAACAGGGCTTAAACGGTAAATGAGCAAAAGGACAGATTATGAGCAGGAAATTGTACCCAGGAAATTGTGCAAGGCACAGTAAACTAAAAAGTTCTTTGGGGGAAAAGATGGGTAGATGCGATTGAAGGAGGCAGGGGCGGGGGGATCACACGTGTGGCGCACGTGACAGGCGTGTTGGTAACGGGGAATTTCATCCGGCGTTTGGGTGGGAGGCGCTGTTGTTGGAGGCCGAGAGGCAGGCACTTTTTCACTTTACTTTTCCCGCGCTGGGGCCCATTCCCACGAGCTGGCACTTTTCTCAGCCAAGTGAACTGTTTTGCCCCACTTTTCCTTCCCCTCCTTTTTTTTTTTTTTTTGGTTTTGTTTTTTGTTTAAATGATCTCTTAATTCCTCATGCTAATAATCACTGCATGTTACTAACTCAGCTTTATAACAAATCACTAGATTATTTGTGATTCCTCCATGAACAAAGCCACTTCAGTATCAAATACACAGCTCTTCTCTTCCTTCTTAACGCCGACAGTTTGTTCTCATGATGACACCACATCCACTTTTGTTCTACGTATGCGCTCCCCACTTGATTTAAGTTTTACTAATACTAGTTATAAGAGCTAGTTGATTAATTTGAGAAGATTAAAAAAAAAATTAAATTAGTTATTCATAATAAATAGGTGTTGTCTTTTCTAAAATATTCTTTCTAATCAAGTGTATGAGTTAGAACTATTATTGTTAAAAAGATTATATTGGAAAAAAATGCATAAGTATAAGAGAAAGTAGATTAGGATCTTATATTTAGGATCAAAATAAAAATAAAATAAGATCTTGTATTAAGGATCGGAGATAGTATTATTTTGGTCGTCTAATTTAACCACAAATCCTTGTTTTTTGATGGAGATAGAGAGGGGTGTTTGTGCTGGAGAGGCCAAGCATGGAGGAGGGCAATACGGGTGAACTGTGGGGTGGCGTCTCCGAAACCACGGCGTTGATGGTTTCGTTTACAAACTTTGTTTATTTTTGAACTAAAAAACAGACGGTAGTAGTCACAGATTACCAGCGAATCAAATCTGTAAACTCTCACTTGTAATAAATAGAATTCTTCTCGTATCATTAGAATACAAAGTGATTGACAGTTTTATTAGTTTTTGACGCCAATACTATTTTACAATACAATAAGTAATGCAAGGCAACCAATAAGATTGGTCTAATGAAATGGGTTAGTTCCTCATAACGTGATGAATTAATATTCGAATCTCTCTTAATACCTGACAGTGTCTTGAATAAAGTTGCACTCAACAATAAGATATTTATGTTTGAGGGAAAAAAAGTAATTTATCACAAAATGCGCCACCTGCCTTTCAACTTTCCACGTATATTCGTTAGTTTTTTTTTTTTTGCCAACATATATATTCATTAGTTTTCGGCACCAATACTCTCTCACCATCCCCTTTTATACTCTTAGTTTCATCATAACTACTATATTTTTCTTTCCAATAAAGATTAAAAAACGTTGCTGGTTAATTAGGACTAGAAGTAAATTATAGACGATGAATAATAACCTGTTTTAATATTTCATTTCATCATCGGTTATTAAGGATGAGAGGAGTAAAATTTAAGGCTATGGTAGTAGATTGGGATACTATATTTAACTGACGGGCCATTATAATTCATTATAAAACAAAGAGAGAATTACAATTAAGTCTTACAGAAAAAAATAATTATTAAAAAATCCCAATAACAATATGAACAGTTTGTAATGATAAGTCCTGCACGGAGAACAATAAGTTCTGAGATTTATTTTGTTATTTTTTTCTTTCATCGGACTTAATTATAATTCTCCCTAAAATAAAGTTACGATCCTCTTAAAAATATTTAAACATGTTCATATATGCATGTATAAATTAATTATAAACTCAAGATGAAAAACATCTGGATAAAACAGGAAATCGAAATTGATGTAACCGAGGAATTGTTGCTTTTGCGGGTTGAGTGGGAAATGTTGTTGGTGGCTTTATATGGGCTGGGATGGGGATGTAAAGAAAAGGAATAATAAAAAAGCGAGGAAAGTACAAGGAGCAGGCGGGCCGAGAAGCATTGTCATCCACAAGTAGCAAAAAGAGAAGCGAGAGCAACAAATAGTCAAAAGCATATATCTTTTTTAAAAAGGGGGCTTAATTTTTTTCTTTCTAAGAAACCGTGAATGACTAGAATTTGGTGGGCGAGGAAAGAGAAGATAAGAAGAAACTGTTGCTTGAAAGATGAAGAAAAAGTGGTGAATAGGATCGTGGGGGAGAGAGTTGCCGGCTATTTGCATTCATTGGCAACCCCAAGACAGAAATCAAAAGCAAGAAAGAGAAAGATCTTTTTACGGCCACACAGAAACTTGTGGCTCAAATTCTTTGTGGCTTCCGACGTGGCAGCCCCCACATGCTTCACCGATCGACAAACCCACCAAAAACACGCACACACACACACACAAAGAAAAGAATTCGCAGTACAATTAACCACACCCCGACGACGCACACACTCTCTCCCCACACAACGTGTCGGATCTCTCTCTCCAAAGTCTGCAGCTTTCTCTCTCTTTGGCAAGATAGAGGAGAAAAAACATTGGAAAAAGGGGGAAATTAAAAAAAAAAAAAGGAAAGAAGGAAAGAAAGAGAGAGAGAGAGAGAAGTCGAAGACAGAAATGTCGGAAGCAAAAGACCCGGCGATCAAGCTCTTCGGGAAGACGATCCCACTGCCGGAGATTCCGGCCGGATCCAGAGGCTCGTCGGGAGCTCCAGCTTCTTCTTCTGGGGATGTTATTGATGATGGTATTGATCACAATCTTGTTTCTCCGACCACCTCATCGCGAGAGTCCAACACGAAGAGAGACGAAGAAGAGCAAGAGACCGAGAAGGTATGAAAATTTAGGGGCGGTCGTAAATTATTGATTTTGAGTATGAATCCTTATGTAAAACGCAGACTGATTTAATGGGCTGGTGTTAGTTTGGCTTTGGCAATGCCATTTCTGTTGACTTGCTGTGGTAGCTTCTGTTGGTTAATATATCATTCGTATGACTCCATTGATTCGGTGTTTTGGGTTGGTTTCCATTAGGATAGCTTTTTGGTTTTATTTTTCAAACTTGCAATTCTTTTTCCGACTTTCGATTTTTTCTTTCGATGTTATCTTTAACATGTTGATGCTCGGGCTTCCACCAGAAGATTTATGCTACTTCATTAGCATTCGTAGTTTGATGAATTCTCTGGTACTTAGTTAATTTGTCAGGTTCTGAAATTGCAGGATGATTGTATGGGGTTAGCATTGGTTAAGCTAATGATTTTCTTGTGATGCCTGTCAACATAATTTATTTCCCTCCATTTCATCTTCCGGGATTCAGGCTTCTGGTGCGAGCTGTTCTATATTTCTTCCTTTTTCTACTTTTGGACCTTGATAATAATTTACACCATACATATATGGACTGCCATGGACAAATCCTATTTTTCTCTTTTCGTATTTAGATCCTTCTGGCCACAAATAATTTATTATACATGATTTTTCTACTTCGTTTTCTCTGGGTTGGCGGCATGCTTGCGGCAAAATTCTTTTTTCTATCTGGCTTTTGAATGTTATAATAGAATTCAACACTTGAATTGTGCCATTTGAACTTTAGTTTACGTATATGTGTACTCATCCTTGCCTTCTTCTGGGTTTATAGTCGGTGTTCTCTCTTCTGCGAGGAGAGTTTTGAGTCATAGCTCCCTGAGAAATCCAGTATCATTTATTTTGGTTACTTAGCTTATTCTGTGGTTGCATTACCTTCCCCTTGCTTTTGAACCTGTTGTTACACAAAAGCTGGGTGGTAATATTCCAAACCTTCAACCTCTACTGACATATTGGAATAACATGTTTGTGGATGAACACTTGTATGGGATTTTGACTGTTGATATTGCACTGTGGATTTGAAGCAACTGGCGGAAATGAGTTTTCTACTTTCAATTATATGCGGTGATATTGAACTATGCTGTATTCTTCTTGTTTGCTCTAGTGAACTAGCTATTTGTGCTGTGCAGTCAAGGTTTCATTTCAATATCAATAAAGATCCTGTTGAATAAATTACATCTTTAAGAAACCCCAGTATATGCAGAACAGGAGGAGATAATCATAAGAAGTTTTTTTCCTACCACTCAGAAATCTGATATTCTGATTTATCTATTGTTTTAATAATACTAAGGAAGTGCTTGTGAGAAAAAAATTCGTCTACATCAACTTGCGTAGCTGAAGTTTTTATGAATCCAGGACGCTTCGGGAGAGAATCCAAAAGAGAATACGGAGGATGGAGCCCCCGCTCAATCTACAAAAGAGGTCGCTAACCCGGATGCAGCCTCTAGGACAGGTGAAGAATCTATCACGCCCCCTACTGAGAAGGACGCTACTACATTGAAGGCTTCAAAATCTGAGGAAGAGCAAAGTGAGACAAGTAATTCACAAGAGAAGACTTTGAAAAAGCCAGACAAAATACTGCCTTGTCCCCGCTGCAAGAGCATGGACACCAAGTTCTGCTACTACAACAATTACAATGTCAACCAACCTCGCCACTTTTGCAAGAACTGCCAGAGATACTGGACTGCTGGTGGAACTATGAGGAATGTGCCTGTGGGTGCTGGTCGTCGAAAGAACAAGAACTCTTCTCACTATCGCCAAATAACTGTTGCTGAAGCACTCCAGACTGGTCGAGCAGACATGCCAAACGGGGTACATCATCCTGCCTTGAAACCCAATGGCGCAGTCCTTGCTTTTGGGACAGATACACCTTTGTGTGAGTCAATGGCATCTGTTTTGAACCTTGCTGATAAAACAATGCAGGATTGCTCGAGAAATGGATTTCATAGACCTGAAGAACTAAGAATTCCTGTTCCCTATGCCAATGGAGAGAAAGGAGATGATCATTCTAATAAATCTCCTGTGATGTCAACAAAGCCAATGGATGATACAAGCATCAACAGGCAACAAGAACAAGCAATGCAGAACTGTCAGAGTTTCCCACTTCAAGTTCCTTACTATCCTGGGGCACCTTGGCCTTTCCCATGGAATCCAGTGCAGTGGAGCTCTCCGGTTCCACCACCTGCGTTTTGCCCTCCAGGATTTACCATGCCATTCTATCCTGCAGCTGCATATTGGGGGTGTACTGTCTCAGGTGCTTGGAACATACCATGGCTACCACAACCATCATCACCAAACAGCGTGGGCCCTAATTCTGGACCTAACTCGCCAACGCTGGGTAAACATTCAAGAGAAGAAAACATGCTCAAGATCAATGACTCTCGGGGAGAGGATGAACGTGGTAAAGAAAACGGCAAAGAGAAGTGCCTTTGGGTTCCGAAAACTTTGAGGATTGATGACCCGGGAGAAGCAGCTAAAAGCTCTATATGGACAACGCTGGGGATTAAGAATGATATGGCTGAGTCAGTTCAAGAGGGAGGGCTCTTCAGGGCATTCCCATCAAAGGGTGACGGAAAAGATCATTCAACACAAAACTCAACAGTTTTACAGGCCAATCCAGCGGCATTGTCTAGGTCACTCAACTTTCATGAGGCCTCATAAACATTTTGCTAAAATATTTGTAATTTTTTTGGGCGCAGCAAACTCCGATGGCACCTATATATATGTTCCTAAGGAAGTTACAAATGCCAGGCAATATGTGCTCGCCAGCCTTGTTTGGAAGAGTTATTTCTCGTGAGCCAGCTGAAGAAGAACCAAGGTTTGGTTCTTCCTGAATTCGCCTTGAGGAGAAGGAACCTTCTTGTCTTTGCAGAGTTATTCCTCTTTCTTAAGTGACGGCTTGACTGTTTTACTCTCTTCCTTTTCAATGAGATGGTTTGCTTAGATTATGTGCATAAGTTTATATGACGTAGTGATAGATAGAACCTAGTGAATTCGTCTACGTAGATTCGGCATGTATATAAATAAGAGTGGGAGTTCAAATTGAACTTCTTGTTCTGTTATTCTTCCATAATGTAATTCTGTGTTCGGTTGAACTAGGCAGCCTGCCTCCGTTTATATTGTACAGACTTGACAGCAGGGATTTGAGAAATTCTTGAATACACTCGAGTTCCCAAGTATGTGAAAGACAATGAGTGTATCTAAGAATTTTTGAAAGATTCCAGGCGGATTGCACGAGAGACCTGTGCTGTAGGACTTGCTTGTAAATTGTAATACAAGACAAAATGGATTTAGTATGTTATTGTCAGCGTAATTTGTGTTGGTCTCTCAATATCAATATACACATACTATCTTATTTAAAATCCTAGAGAATCTGATTTGTTTTTACACTTTTCACATCCTCAGTTAGAGATCGAACCCAAAACTGCAAGCTACGAATGGGGGCTGGGGCTGAGAGGGTAAATTGCCAGGTACAAGTTGGGTAGAAAAGTGACCCCTGTGAGACTGACTGAAATTGTTGTATGTCCGGAGTCAAAAAGGCATTCTGGGGTCATGTCCGCCTAAATTCTTGCCGCACATGGCAGTGAACCTTGTCTTTCTAGGCCCATAAAAAGAACAATAATCACTGCTAAAAAAGCGGAAAAGCTTCATCTGCTTTCGTTCTTTTTCAAAGCCGTCCCTCCTGGGGGCTTCTGCCTGTCCATATCTGCTGTACAAACAAGGCACTTGGAATATTTTAGATTCACCTTAAGGAGAGTGATACTTATCTCAGTTGATGCACGAGAACTGTTTATACAATAGTTAATTTTATGAGTTGATGAACATATTTTGATGGGATTATTTCGAGCATAGACCTTGGCTGTTTCTGCGAAAGGAAAGTACAGACCTCTAGTTTTCTAAAACATGTTGTGGATCAAGGCCGAACTAATAAGACTTCAAAGACCAATCAATATTCTTTCTTTGCTCTTCGATATATTTTGGGCAAATGACAATCGGGAAAGGCATTTATTCACCAACTGCGATCGAAATGCCTCATTCACATTTTTATTCTCAGCATTTTTTTTTCACGGGAGCGAAGGTGATGCAGATGTAGACAGACAGTATACATTAAACTCAGAAGATGCCTAAAGATATAGACTATATTAATATTACAATTAAACGTGTGTGCCTTTCACGGTTTCACCTATATGCACCACAATAACAACAACAACAACAATCACCACAACAATAACAACAACAACAACAGTACGATCAGAAAACATGATTTATATAGAGGTATCAAATATCAATGGCCATAAATAAGGCGCCATAATTGATACGCAACAAGTTAATGAATTGTGCCTACTAATTAGGTATACCTGCATAGCAATAATAGCTAATGAGTGCTTGCATCATGTCAGAAGTCGAATATCTTACAAGAGCACATCCTTATTGACCGGCTGGAGGCAAGTCAAGGAATTCCTCGAAACCACTCTCTTTTTTCCTCTGTTTCTTGTTCCCTTGTATATATCCGTTGTGTGAATCACGTATTATCAGTTTTGTTTGGCCATTTTTCTTGAACTGTAGTCGCAGCTTTCATCTGTATGTAGACGTCCAGAGGATTCACATTCTGATGCATGGTATGAGCATCAAGTCATATTATCCTTAATACAAGATCTACTTTTTTAACTACAAATTAAATCTTATACTAAGTACTAGAGGCAGTATTATATTTTGCATTTAATAACATTACACTCCATCTTTGTGCTATATGTATGATCACAATGAATATAATTATAGATTTATAGTAGCGGAACAATCCTGGCACCACAGAAAGTAGGGGCACCAAGCCAACTATATCAGTCGGGATGCATCCAGAAACTACGTACGTATATATGTAGAGCCAAGAGAAAAACATTACCTTTTGTATCAAGGCCATGAGAATAAACACAAGAGAAAAGGGTGTAATTAATGATGGGTGGAAAGGCCAATGTGGAAAGATAAGGAGGTTTGGCACAAATTAAAGAAAAGTTCCCCACTTGGTGTAGAAAGCGAAGGCATCCGATTTGCCAACTTTAGAGCAATTGGCGCTTGAGCCTCGCTCTTGGGTCGGTCCATGTCCACCTAAAGCATATCCTTCTTTATGTTTCATATATATGTTGATAACGACTTGGAAGTTATGCATCCATTCATTTACCTTAGTCAATTTATTTTCTTTTCGGCCGGACCTTAATCACTTTTTTTTTTAAAAAAAATAATAACACCAACAGGAGACCAAAGAACTTGGAAGAACCTTGCGATGCAGCTGCCTTTGCCTTTCCAAACATATTATAATGCGTCCACATCCAAGCCCATATCCCATATCTCATAATATCACGTGCGCCTCAATGTTCAAAGTACTCACGACGTCGTCTCTTTTGTTTCCCTTTAAAATCACATCATTATTAAGCCTGCGATCTTTGGTCAGCTTGATTTTTAACTGATATGATAGCTAGCGACCATGTTATTTTTAAGTTACTAAATTATTTGTTATATTGGGTGAGGCGATAGAAATTCAAAAAAAAAAAAAATGATCAGGGGTCAAAAAGAGGTAGGCAGTGATAACGAAAATGAAGGCCTTTCGTTGGATCTGAGCAAAGGCGGTTTCCGAGAAATATTAGATATCATCTGATACATATAGATATAGAACCTTCACTGCTTTCTTCTCTCTCCCTCACTCCCTTCAAATTTCACAACCCTGCCCTCATAGCTCCTTCCTTCTTCGCCTCTGTCTTCCAAAAACTTCCCCAGCAAAATGATGAGCCCCTCACGTTTTCTCGCGCTTCTTCTGGTCATGTCTCTGCTCTCTCTCGCCTTCACCTACGGTTTGTATCTCCTCACTTCTCAATCTGCTTTTCCACAGACCATTGTTTCTTTATTTTATGTCCATGTCTTTGTCCGTCTCGTCAATTCCTTGTTGTGACTGTGACACTTTTTTCCTGTGAATGTTTAAGGTTTCGGGAGAGCGCTGACGGAGACAGTTCCTCGCCATCATTATCCTGCTAAGGCAGAGACTACAGAGGTTTGATTCTTTCCCAGAAAATGTCTACATCCGCGTACATAAAGCTAATTTTATTATTGTATGCTTGATTGCTTTGGTCCAATGTTGACATCATTCACTTTGTTTGTCATCTAGGAAAATTCCCGAAAAATGAGGTTGATGATCCAAGTGATGGATTATGGGGATCCGGAGGCAAACACTAATCCCAAATATGGAAATCTGTTCAGCCCTCCTGCACCTTCAATCACTCCCTCTCCCTCCTAATGCAAGAACAACAAATTTAGATTGTTCCAATGATCAGTGTCCCGTCTTTCCATTTCTCTGTGGATTCTTTTGTTTCGAATAATTCCCTTTGGATTTGAATGGCGTGTGGGTGTAAGCTGAAACCCAGAAATTGCCTGTGCATGGTTTAGCTGTGTTGTTGTGGCGTGCTGTAATATTGTCGGTAATAATAAGGGACTCGCCTATCTCATTCTCATCTGATAATGACAAAAGAAATAAAATAACGTTTGACTTAGAAGCGAGAGTGTGTCTATGGATGCGAGATTGGCCGACTTACGAGTTAACAAGGAGTTTCGTGATGAACCTTCACGTGCAGTCCAGGCGGTTCCATGAGGTTTGACCTTCGCATATACCTAAAATAATAGATAAAGCAGAGCTTACCCTCCTTTCATGGTTTTGATTTAACACCATCGTGTTTCGATGCAGTATGTATGAATCCTTAAAGACGAAGCTTCTTGATATGTACATGTAGAACATTAATTAGCAGGGTACCATGTAGTTTCCTCTTACTTTCTGCACTTTTAAAATAGCATTTGACATCATCATGTATGAGATCGAGAGGGATTTTGTGTTATACAATCCCAGTGTGATTATAAGAACACACTGGCTATCTTGTGTTGTGTGCAATACATATCTGCTTTTTATCTTCTTCAGTTTTCTTAATTAGTCTCAATCTACTGCGCTATCTACAATGGCCGAAATTTTTCAAGGCAAGCGGCGTGATGGGAAGATAATGAAAGGACCCAACTCATTGCATTTATGTTGAGCTGTGTATTAGTTGGAACGACAGATTACGAGAATATTGAAATCGCATTTTAATATAATCAGTTTAGATTTATTTATGTTGGAATCGTAATCAAACGGTTGGGTGTAACCATTGCGACAGTCTGGTAGAGTACTCTTGGTTATTTTAATTAATATGATTACTCTTTATGTGTTGTGTGTGCGCTATAGTTTACAAGGCAGTGATCATTGATCAAATTGGAATGGGTGATCACGATTTTTCTATGAACAATTTATTACCCTTAAAATGGAAAATCCTTGGAACGAGCAATCAAAGACTTTGATAAGTTATTTTTAAAATGGGATTCAGTTCGTGTTGAGGTAATTTAGATTGAGCTTTGCAACAGAGTCATTGGCTCCACCGGGCTCAGGGCGTCGCTATTACAATTACAATTGATAAAAAATATATTTTGATATAGATTTATATTAGACTTTATAAAAGCCATATTTTTTTTCCTTAAAAGAATACCTATTTTACGAGTCGCTATCGAATATATATAATCAAGTTGAATGCGTTAAATTAGCCGATCCGTTGCCAAGTTGGATTAAGTGGGCAAAGTTAATTTAGCGAGTCTGCTTTGGGCTGACGAGGCGAAGTGAACACCTGTAATTCACATGGTTGAGCCATTTTTCTGGGCCGTAAGGATCAAACCCTTTTTTGGGCCAAGTGGATTAAGCCCAGTTGAAACATTAATCTCCGGAGCCATAGATGCGGCCGAGGCAAGGACTAAGGGCTAAGGAGAAAGAAGTTCACGTCAAGTCATATACACCCTCCGTTCCTTATTATAAGATACATTTGATACTTATAACATGTTCCTATATATAAGAGACACTTAAAAGTTATTTCTACCTTTTGTGTTGATTTCCTATTTTATCCATATTTATTGTCTCCAAATCACACGCTCTCTCCCTCCCACTTCTCTTTCTTTCAATAATTTAATTGTTCTCTCTCATGCTCTCTCTCCTTATTAATGAGGGCATTTTTGGAAAAAAATTATATTTTTTACACATTGATTGTTCTTAACTAATTTTAACTGCTTTTTTTATCAACATAATTCGGTTATTCGTCTCTTATAATAAGGAACAGAGGGAGTATTTTCTTTATAATTTTTGCTCAACAGATGAAAAAGTTGGTAAAAAATCCTTATTTAAAAATTTAATTAGTTAAAAGAATTTGAATTTGAATGGATGCAGCTATGATCCGTAAGTGCAATATATCTTTCGCTGTGTGCAATGTATCATTAATGATATGCAACAATCATCAATATGAAAGTAATTTGTATATAGCGAAAAATATGTTACACTCATGGATCATACTTGCACATACTCAAATTTATATCTTTTTTAACTAATTAAATTTTCAAATAGAAAAGTTTGACCAATTTTCCCTGAGACTGCTAGCTATATATATAATTCACTAAAACAGAAAGCTACAAGATGATCACATAGAGATAGTCTCTCTGAAGGTTTCATGCGCACGTCTATGCTAAAATCGGTTTTAAATTTAATATCATATCTTGACAAAAAAAAAATCCCGAGACATTAAGTTTAGGACTCTAATTTTCCACGTTGTCTCGTTTTTTCCCCCCGAAGTAATATGAGTTTATCTTTATAATAAGTTATGTAATATAATACTCCTGACCTAGTGGTAACTGGCTAGGCCACAAGTGAGGCGAGTCTCTACTCTTTGAGGGTGGGGGTTCGAATCCTCACTTGTTAAAAAGGGTACCAGGGAGGGTTTTACTTGTCGCCCGGCCCGAATCCGGACTAGTCGATCGCTAGAGTACAACTGGCCCAAAGAGGCTGGGCCGCAGAAAAGACGCGGTTGGATACCGGATGGTTTATACAAAAAAAAAGATTTAGTTAATTGATTTGAATTGATTAAAAAAATTAGTTAAATTAGTTATTTGTAATAAATATGTGCCGTCTTTTTTAAAATACTCTTACTAATAACATATATAATTACTACAAAGACTACCTTGAAAAAAATGAACAAATATAAGAGAAAATATGGATTGAAATTTTAGAACTAAATTAAATGATAAACTAGCTTTTATACTAAGAATCGGAAGTAGTATATTATAACAACTTCTTTTTTTTTTCCATTTGCGTTGACCCTCGATGGATGTAGTCTTTGTCCTATGATTGCAGAATGAACAAAGAATAAGTTGAAGTGGACGAGCGACAAGAGAGTTATAAATAAACAAATGAATAAACACGGAAAGAAGGAAGGTTGGGGGACAAAAGTGTGCTTCATCTTTTCCTATTTTCCAGGCAAGTGCTCCTGAATGTCTTAATGACTACGGCATGAAGACTTTTCATGGTCTGATCTGAAATCCTGGAGACTGAAGCATACACATTACACAATAAACTCCTTTACGCTTAGTGTAAACTGATTTAAATTAGCTCTATGCTTCTCATAATTTTGATTCCTTTCAGATTTCTTACAAAAGAACAGAAATAGTTCAGTTGAATTGCGCGTTGCTAGTACTTCTTTCTCCCGGTTTCCGGGGACATCTTTGCAGTGGAAAAGCACTTCCCCGCACGACAAGTCAGACGCAAAAACAAAATTCCCATCGTGGAATTCCAAGTTTCCTTCATGCTTCTCCCCCATTTCGTGGAACATTCGTCGTGGTGGGAATATGATTCCCCCGGAAATACTTTTACATGGGAAGTGACGCCCTTTGTTCCGCCTCCCTGCTTTCTTTCTTTCTTTCTTTCTTTTTCAGGGGTGCGGGTATTAAAGGCTAATATAACCATCGAAGGCAAAAACTTCTATTTAAAAAAAATTATGACGCTGCATTTCTCCAAGCCAATGTCGAGACAAAATCCAACATAAGAGGACAAATAAAAAGCAGGCCAACCTGACGCTACTTCACCCACAAGGGGCCTTCTTGATGCAACAATTTCTTTGATTTTGTGGGGAAAGAGAATACGAAGTTTCTTCATATGACGGTGTCACCTGATGACCATTTCTTCCATTTTCTTTATAAAACCCCATGCCTCCCTCCCTGCTTCCTCCAACAATTTGACCGTTTGAAAGATTTTAACTTCACATCTCTGTCTTAGATTTACAAGCTTATCTCAATCCGAAGCCATGGTTGTTGGTGAAATTCCCTACCTTATCACTATGGACAAGACATCACAGTCTCCCTTGTTTTCTCTGCTCGATTTTTTCTTCTGCGGTACATTCTTAAACAGAATACAGACCTTTCCCCGAAATTTTTTGTTATCTTTTCTATCCCGACTTAGTTCTGTCAACCCAAAGGTAAAAGGAGATGTACAGTTTTCAGACTCCGAGGTGAGTCTCGGAGAGAGTTCTAGCAATGAACCCAGACATGATGGGAAGCTAGAAAGGGACGAAGTGAAAATGGTGATGGAAAAGTTGGGACTTTTTTGCAGCCCAGAAAGCGAAGAACTCGATGATAGGTATGGGTCGGGTGAGATTTCCGGGATGTTCCAAGAGGAAGAACCAAGCTTGGAGGAGGTGAAGCAAGCTTTCGACGTGTTTGATGAGAGCAGAGATGGTTTCATCGATGGGAGGGAGCTGCAGAGGGTTCTGTGTATTTTGGGGTTGAAGGAAGCCACGGAACTAGAGGACTGCCAGAAGATGATCGCCAACTTCGATGAAAATGGAGACGGAAGAATAGATTTCCATGAATTTGTTAGAATTATGGAGAACAGTTTCCATTGATTTATCATAATTATATGCACTTCTTGTTAGCGTTGGTGCGTGATCCGATGGGAAGTTGTGCGAGCTTCTCAGCTTCGTAATTTGTCTCTCGGAGAATCATGTCAATAAATATTGTATGATGTTTTTCATGACATATTATGTCAATTATTATGATTATAATCATAATTAATGTGAGTCCTATGCATTACACCAGGTCAGAAATATCAATTACTTAACCACACACCAACAAATATGTTGGTTATGAACGTACGTTATATATTTTCTAGCCAGGCCCGCTTGTTGAGGGCTCCCACTCAAGTGTCAATATAAGCCAGAGTTTGGGCCCACACATGAAATAAAGCCTGCCTCTTCAACTCGTGTTTAGTTTTTTTAAATCAATATTATATCTTATCTGTGAAGAGCTAAGAATTGAACATTTAAATGCCAAATACTTGTTTGGTTTGGTCCACGCAACTTGATTTTTCAACCTCCTTTGCTTGCAAGACATTCTGCATGCTGACTTGTTTGGCGGTCTGTGGGGACAAGGGCAAGCCATTCCCTCTCAAGCAAATGATCTGCCGATTTGATTTCCTTCAAAAGAAGCTAATGAAAAGAAGATTCATCCATTGCAATCGGTGCAAAACATCATTATTAATTTTCCCCCCCCGAGGCCCGTACTATGCAGCCACGTTCATAGGGTGTTTAAATTAACTTTCTAAAAATAATTTTACCTACATGTAAGATCGAGGAGTTTTATCTTAGTTTTTTTTTAATTGATTTTAAAGGATGCCGGACGCCCCCCTTCATAGAACTCTCTTATTTATTCTTTAAAAAAAATCCCTCAACCGCTAGAAGTCTAATTTTATAAAATTACATAAATTAATTCTCTTTATGTATGATTCTAACAGAATTCTTGGGTTAGTCCTTGAAATTGAAGACGTGTGTATAAAACCATGTCCTACACATTTTGCAACTCTAAATATGAAAATGTCACTCCCTTGTCTTGTCCTTGTTAAATGGTTTATATTTTCATTTATTAAAATAGGGCTTCTTTATTCCCGCCCTCAATACTGGTTCTCTAGTTGTTGATAGTTTGCTGCTAAAACGGCCATGAGACGCACTGAAATATCTATTTTCCTTCCCTCTCTCGGGTTAAGGCCTATGGCAAGGCCATTCAAAGCCACAATTCGATCGGCTACACCCTCTCCAGGAGAATGACTATTCCATCCAGTGGCCACAGACAATAACGGTTCAGGGGAATAAGTAGTGCATCTATTTGCCTCGAAATGCTCTTGGTACTATGACACTAAGGTTCACATTACAATACTTAGAATCCAAAAAGGAAACAAAACGAACGATAGAAGGCCCTGAAAGGAGCATGGTAGCTTGGAAAATACAAGAGTCAGTGATAGGAGGAAAGCCATGATACTTGCCGCATTGCAGATTAAAACAATCAGGGCAGATTTCTTTGAGATCCAACTAAAAAGTAACAAATATAAATAAAAGGAGGAAAATCAATCGCAAGGCAAAGGGACTTCAATTTTTTGCCTGAGCCAAGTGACTTCAATTACGTGAAAGACAACTCATCAACCATAGTAAGACTGTTGACCCAGAGGTGAAGCGCCACCAGGTCTAGTATTTGGCTGACCCAATCCTTGAGCAACTGGGCTGCTTTGCACAAGAGGCGAGGACCCAGGAACCGGAGGTGAAGCGCCACCGGGCTGTATATTATTTACATTCTGTTGAACCCCGGCTTGAGCAATTCCCAGAGAATTCGCATTATGAGAAACAGGACTTGTCTGTGCAAGAGGTGATGAAGCCGCAGGCATTGCTGCGGGGGAATAGGCAGGAACTGGAGGGGCCGCATAGGTTTGACCAGGAAAAGTACCAGGTGCCGGTGCATAACTTGGTGAAACTGCCTGCATGGTTGGATCCCATGATGGAACTTGTCCTCCAGGGACCTGACCCTGTACAGGTGGAGAACTACCAGGGTACATAGGAGAAGCCTGAAAATTCTGCCAAGCTGCGGCAGGAGACTGTGCTGCAAGCATACTTGGATCTGGGATTGTATAGTCCCTACTTTTGTCACTGAAAGCCTAAAATCAAAAAAATGATTATATTATACTACAATCAGCTCGATAGATGATCATCCAAACATATGAAAAATAGTAGAATAAACCAGGTGTCAAGAAGCATACATTTAACAAATCTCTTTCCGACCACGAATTGTCCAAATTTCTTCTTAGTACATCTTTAATATTTATCCCCCTCTTTCATTTTTCCCCTCATGAACATTAACTCAAAAACACATATTTTTATACCTTCACATTGAGATCAGTATGACGAGAGTATGATAGATGAAGCTTACAATAGCCACCATCATATATGCAATGCCCCTCTAAAGCTTCTCTGGCAGTTGCTGCTGTAGTGACATCTGCACATGAAAGTTTAATGAACACAAAAAAAAAATTTTATAAAATAAAAACTCAGAAAAGCAAAGGACGTCTGACTATGGTTAGAAAACAACTGATGATTCCGTTGGATTACAATCATAGGTCAAAATAAAGGCTCAAAAATTGCAAGATTAAAGGTCCTAAAGTCAAGCCAAGAACTATAGTACCGAGTAATAATTAAAAGATGCTTTTACTGCCACTCCAAAGTCATAATATATGAGATGCTATAACTCACCAGAACTGCCACACTAGCAGGTGGACTCTTCCTCTCAATTTCTTTCTTACTAAGAAGCTTAGGTTATATTCCTACAAACTTAAAAGAACATCTAGCTTGTTGCTGACCTCCTAGCATAACACAAGTCACAAGAGAAGTCCAAGAAAAATGTTCCATCCTGATGCAGGTTTCTATCTTTTATGGCACTTAATGGGTTACAAGCCAGGAAACATGCTTCCCCTTTCCCAACAAATCACACAAAGCACAAAAAGTAATTCCCCATCACATTTCATGAAGCACATACAATATATACACATTTTTGAAATACCAATCTAAAAGAAGACATTACACTGATTCCCAAGAAAGAAAAATTCAAGTAGGTTCAATACCAGGGTACTGAACTAGAGCCTGAGTTTGCCCATTCTTTTCAAATATAGCAATTTTCTGCACAGTACCAAACGCAGAGAAGACCTGTGACAGGTAGACCAGCAACACTCATTACAATTTGCCAACAACTTAAAATTCACATGCAGAATAACTTTTCTTACAGTGTGAAGGATGTCTACAGTGACAGCATACTGCATGTTTTCAATAGATGCCAGAAGCACATTACTCTCGGGTTCTTTTTTCTTCCCATCAGGACCAACAGCAGGCTGGGGATCATAATTAGTTAGTACATGTTAAAACAAAGAAAGCAGAAATAGGATAAAAAAGAATACCTGCACCACCCCCTCAATGGCAGTAGGATTAACAGGAAGGTAAGGATTCGTGTAGTCCCTGCAGAGTTGTCAAAATAGTTCAGCACTACTACCCAAACATCAACATTGGAAGAACATCAAAATAATAACACTTGTTAAAGAAGAAAATAAACTTTCCAGACACCGTCATTCTTAAATAAAGCTTTAAAAAGAAGAGGGTATGAAAATAAACAGAGATTTTCCTGAAGCCAGAGAACTCTCGTAAGGAAAGCAGATAACTGGGAAGCAATATAAGTGATTCGAAAGCATTGTTGAGTCTGTCAGCTCATTTAAATTCATGGAACAAATAGAAAGTGCTTCAGCAAAGATATTTGGGCAATTGGATTTCTCAAACATTGATCCCCCCCCTCCCCCCAAAAAAATTTAGAGGGATAGGCACCAACGGCCCAAGATTACAAACAGGATTAAACTTGCAACCTCCTACTGACAGGAAAGCTTTCATGTCATTAAGTTATGAGGCCATTGGCCTCAACCATTGATTCTCAGTTCTACTTCCTAGCATTTTCATGCATCACAAGTGGCCTAGGTCTCGTAATTACAATGGTCTATCCATGAATCCTTCTCTTCCTAAGAGACCCCTAAACTGGAAGAGACTATGATCTAAGGACCCCGAAACTAGAATTCTGAAATCCAGTTTCACTATCCCTCTTTAACAAAGATAAAATCCAAATTCAATCTGACCATGACAAAAATTGAATATAATGGCTGGAATATATTTGAGAAGCAGGCTTGTTTATGTAAATATCGTTCTCCATACTTATTTATGATTTCACAGTCATCGCATCAATACCAAAGATGGTTCAGAAAAATTACCCAGAAGCAGAAAAACATCACTTTCTTCAGTTCATTTTGGTAAAGAATAATAACTTAACTTTAATGCCAATAACAGGAAAAAGATCAAGAAATTTACTAAGTGGATATGCCAACACATCTGTATTCTGACTATCAGGCTTCACTAACCCCTAGATGACAAAAAGCACATATCAATTAGCAGGTCAGAGAACACCGTGAAAATGACAACAGGCCTTTGAAATAAATCTGCGAATCCCAAACACCAGCAATCATGTGACAAAACAGTACTACATTATAGTAGTTTTGCAAGTAAACCATTACCTGCTGCGATGAGACTGGAACTTGATATTAAGATCAGTATGTGCTGAGTATGATATGCGCAAATGACAAGAACCAACATGCTCAGGGAGCAAGTATCTGAGTACAAAAGCATAAGCTAATCAGCAAATTTAATACTTGCTCAACTATAATCAGAATCTATGATGGAGAAGATGAAAGGAGCAAATTGCAAATGCACGACTTGCCTGGGTATGCTTCTTCCATCCAATGCATTCCTAGCTGAAGCAGCAGTATCAGCATCACTGAACTGAATCAGAGCCTGCCATGATAAAACACATAAATAAAATGGATAATGACAGTGACATATTGAAATAAATGTCGCACGATAATAAATAACTGTCTAACCTGGAAGCCTGCAGCCTTTTCAAATGTAGCAATTTTGTGTACAAACCCAAAAGCAGAAAACACCTGAATAACAGGACAAAATACTAGTTCAGACATCATATTGATTTTTTCCTAAAAGAATAAGGTGGGAAAATATACAGTACATGACCAGATGACCTGGAATAATCACAAATCACGAGATCATCAGGCAACAACAAGAAGTTTCAAACTGCAGAGAAATAAGTGCAGAATGACACCTGGACTTATATGGGTGACCTTAGAAAGGAGTATGCGTACATGATAATTATTCCAAACTGTCTCGAACAAAAGTATCTAAATATGAGAGATCACCATCTGTGATTCAGCCGATTTCAATAAAAAATGGCACATGATTTAATCAGGATTCTTTCTAACTCTAAACAAAGAGAAGTAGATAAGAGATCACAAGAATAACTGATAAAATATGATATGCAATTCCATGTAATTTGAAGATATAAAAGCCAAGAGGTATATGATAAAGCATTCAAATTAGATTGGAGAACACCCTTTCAAAATAAACATAAACAAGTAAATAAATAAACTTGATAGGATGGACTAAGAATAAGGAGTTCAGGTGAATGAGAAACAATTTTCATAATTGCGAAAATCCTCAGATGATGAACCTTGATATTACGTACCTTTCTCCTACTAGTAAAGTGATTCTAATCTCTGTTAATGCTATAGATAATGAAAGATGAAAAAAGGGTCAACAGGCTTTCAACTCTGCATCATGTGAACAGCAGGGAAAACAACTAAAATTCGACATGTGATTTTCTATTGCTAGTGCAAAAATCACTTTCTAGTGATATTAGTTATCAAATTAGGATTCATGGCAGTCTGTACTTCAGCATTATAGTTCAGATCATACTACTTAACTGTTCCTGCTATCTAAATTACAAAAAAATTGCATGACCTAACAGGAAAACGTAGTGTCTAATTTACTCCAAGAATGATGGGATCCAAGGATCATGCATTTATGCCCATTATTAGAATGTTACAGAACGGTTATATTCAAGCATAAAAGTTTAAAACAAGTATAACTAAACCAAATGAGCAGAGAAGCATATAAAATGAAGTAAAGCAATGCTTTTGTCTAAACAAGGAGCTTGCAGCATATCTCCAAATCAAATCAAAAAGCACCTACCAAGTGGATAACATCAATGCTCACGTCTCCAGCTTCCACACCTTCAATTGTTACCAGCAAGACATTTCCAGGAACATCTCCAGGACTTTTATTGTTGACAATTTCGTGTCTATTAGAATACTGAATATAAACAGTTTTACCGCGAACTTGCGCAGGCTCTGAAGACGAGGCATAATATGAAACCATTGAAATGGCTTGATTTAAATCTGCCTGGTAAAGTCATGATTTTTAAGAGTTCAGAAATCAGAGTTGGATAGTCGGAAAAGAACAGTGTTTCATCAAATGTTAAAAAGCGCACCCCCAGACATGCGGCAGACACAGAATATTTTAATATAGGGAAATGAGCTGAAGTGTTTCCCGGAAAGTCAATCCGATCACCGTTAGCTGATCTAATGTATTGTTTTCATTAAGATAAAGGCATTTTTTTAATGCCAAAATTTTGTATGAGTATATACAGCTTCTTCAAATTTTCAGTTTGTTGTTTTAAATCCTTTATACGTTTCATTTTCACCATGGCCTTGTCGCCTCCAAGAATATCGCTAGTTCAATTTCTTTCATGCATCAGTCTTTGGCAAGCATCTCAGTTTATTTCTACCCTAATGTCTCTCGAAAGACAAATAAATGATTAAAAGGCCGAAAAAGAATCCATAATTAGATAACAAGTGAGAGAGAGAGAGAGAGATGAGGAACTAACAAATTCAACAAAAGCTTGGTTCCGATTGGCGCCGACATTGCACTTGGTGTTGACAATTTTACCGAAGGGTTTACAAAGCTCTTTGAGCTCCTCTTCTGAACACTCCCATGGAAGATTGCGAAGGTGCAGGACCTTAGACGGGGTTTGAGTGTACCGGAACTGGTGCTGGCTTGAGGTTGACATTTCACGATTTGGGGCACCGTTATGGAATCGGTGCAGCTAAAGATTACAGGTCCTGAAGGTAAAGTCAAGCGTTTGATTGTCTGGAAACTGCTGCGATTTCCAGATAGCTCGAAGGAGAGTGAAGGATGTGGATGGGAATTTATATTGTCATGGACTCCACCGAGGTAAGATCTGCGATATTAGCTGTGGGCTCTGTTTATCCCCTTTTTTTTTTTTCCGACCTTGGGGGTGCGCTATTCATCCTTCAAACAAGTCCCCTAGCCAACGGGTTTATCCAAGTAATAAACAGTTTGGTACTGTTTAAATGAAGTCTTGAGTTCGACTCTCAGTGTATATAGAAATCCCCGTTGAGAGACTCGTCCACAGCTAGGTGGGCAATGCGGATCGAATCCAGATGTAATCAGAACAAATTTCCGATGAACTGGGTGGGTAACAAAAAAAGAAAAAGAAAATCCCCATATACTCCCCACCAAATGAATAAATAAATATTTTTGGGTTCTTAGTATTTATGATCAGAAAAAAATACATATAATTCACATATAAAAAAAAAACACTTAGCATTTACTGTAAACATAAATTTTAAAATTTGATTTATGAAAAATATAACTCAACGTATAAATGTACACATTTAACTCGTAGATATAAGATTTAGGAAGCCTATTTGTATTTGAATTTTTTATAAAACATGGTGATAATTTTCTCTTGGACTATTTTTTAAAAATGAGATTAAAATCTATTAATTAATTTTTCTCATAATACTTATATCAAATTCTTTATATCTATTATGCCATGTTCTCAAATCACAGTCATATATCTTATTTTTGAAATATATTACCATTTAATTATAAATTCACAGTTAAAAAAAGATATATTACCATATGTGATTGAAGAATTTAATATAATATATACAAGCTTCTTTTTCTTATGCTTTTATCTTACTTTCTTTTTTATTAAAATTTTATAACTTCACTTATATATTTGTTTTAAAAAACAATTTTATTAAAAATCTCACTTTCTCTCTATCCTTCCCCAGCGGGTTAATGTGAAAATCCATTACCTAACCTCCCATCATCCATCAGAATCCTCCAAGCTAGAGTGTTCAATTGATAATTATATCTAATCTTTTATTTTTTTCACAAAATAACAATATCTTTTTTTAAGACAATTTTTAATGACTCAACACCTGAATTCAATTTTTTTTTTAATGATGCTAAATATAACAACATAATCCATTTTATCTCTTATATTTATCTTTTTTTTTTTAAAATAGTCATTATATTAGTTGCATATGTTAAAATTTCTATCAAATAGTAGTTTTAGCTAATATGATTAGCAATGTTATTTTAAGAAAGAAAATACTTAACTATTACAAAGAACTAACTTAATAAAAATTTTTAGTCTACTTAAATTTGTCAACTAACTCTTATATTAAGAGTTAAAAGTAATATATTATAATATCACTTTGCTTAGAGGAAAAAAAACGAATGGTTTGATAGTAGGCTAGCTCTCTTTTTGCCCCCAGCGTATGTTATAAACAAATACTACTTTATTCACTATGTATTAAATTCACCCTCCAATCATACTAAATATAAACCCTACTCTATAATAGAAATGCAAAACTTATTTTATAATTTAGATTACATTATAAAATAGGTTTTATATTTAAAATTAAAAGAGTATTTTATATCCGGTATCAGTGATTTAGATCCACACGTTATTTTACCCAATTATCTCATGACTTCCTTGATACTACCAACTAGAAGTCAGATATGAAAAATAATTACCTCGATATTATGATTATTATTGATAAGGAATAGATTCAAGGCCCAATCATGTGCACTATGGGGGGGCACTGGATTTCATTTGATCATGGGTTAACGGTTCGGGCAGGCATGCGAATATCTAACTCTGCTGACCAAATGGGCTCTTCGCATGCGAGTAGCGACGACTTGCCAGCGTTGAAGTGTTGACCAAATTGATCCGTCCATTGGAAGCATCTCCGCCCCTATCAGCACGATAACAACGCAGTGCTCAGATCCGTTTAGCTAAACGTGTCACAGTTCTCTTCTTTTTCTTTGTTTTTCTCAGAGACTTCTCTATAGCTCGTCCGTTTAACTAAAGGTAACCGCACCTTTGATTTTTTATTTTATTTTAAATTCATTTCATCCTACTCGCGTTTCTTGATTGATCCGTTCTGTCTGCTGTTTAGTACTTCTCTTATCGATGATTTCCCCCGTATATCCGTTGACGATCGACGCGAAATTTTTCCTATGAACCAGAAATCTTGATTGTGGTCTTCGAATTAATTGCAGCCATCTGCTTATGTTATAATTGAAGCATTTGGGTAGTAGTCTTTGATGACAAGGGTCTGTTGCGGGCTAATATGTCCTTAGGATATGCGGTTTCTTGCTGAAAGGCCAAATCCAACACTTGAAACGGCTCGTTTTGAATGTGTTCTTCGTTCTATCTATTTGACAGGGTAGCAAGTTCATTGCAAACGATGGGATTTGTGTAGATGTTTTCATGTTCTTCAAGCATTAACCGCAAAAAGTGGGGGGAAACGAATTGTGTTCCTTAAAATTGAACTAGATCTGAGTTTTAAAATGACAATACGAATTTCTGTCATGAGGCAATATCTTGTTCAAATGCCGGTTTCTGTTTGAAACGTATGGAAGTTATTTCCTATCCCTTAATTTTATTTTGGAGGAGTGGTAAATTTTTCCACTTCTTATAATTTACCCGTTATAATTGCACCGCTTCCCCACGCTTTTCTGGGGCTAGTTTTGGAATCAACAAATCATGGCCATAATTTTATGAATTTCATTATGTAATCTGTGTATCTTTGGCAGATTATAGAAGTTCGCCTGAAAGCTTTTAATCTGATTTAGAATCGGATATAAAGAATTTTCTGTAATGGCTGGTCATGGAAAGCGTTCCCGCTCTCAGTCTGACTATGACGCCAGAGGAAATAAAAAGAGGAATACGGGTGATGACAGAGAACAGTTTGTAATTGATCCTGAAGATACCGTGTACCGTTATCTGTGCCCTGTCCGAAAGATCGGCAGTGTTATTGGTAGGGGAGGTGAGATTGTTAGGCAACTGAGGATAGACACCAAATCAAAGATTAGGATCGGTGAGACAGTTCCGGGATGTGAAGAGCGTGTTATTACAATCTACAGCCCCGGTGAGGAGACTAATGCTGCTGAGGATGGAGGCAATTTTGTATCACCGGCTCAGGATGCTCTATTTAAGGTGCATGACAGAGTGGTTGCTGAAGAATTTCATGGAGACGAGGATATTGAAGGAGGCCACCAAGTTGTAGCTAAGTTACTTGTACCATCTGACCAGATAGGTTGTGTTATTGGAAAAGGTGGGGTGATAGTTCAGGGCATCCGTAACGACACAGGTGCCCAGATTCGTATACTAAAGGACGAACATTTACCTCGATGTTCATTGAGCTCTGACGAGCTTGTGCAGGTACAATGAATGGGTTTCTTCTTAATACTTTTGTCTTCTTTCTCTATGTTTTATTTTGAATTAGACAATTTTTTTTTCCCATTGCATGGCGCCTAAAGATTGACCCACATTATTCATGGCTCGTGAATAACGTGGTTTGCTATATATTGTATTATATTGATATACTGATTAAAAGTATTTGTTATCTGTCTCAGTTGATTGCCCCTAGTTATTCCAATTGCTGTTTCTTATGGGTCAAAAATCAGATTGTTAATCCCCTAAGAAAGTTGCGAGACCTCTTCCTCCTTCCCTTCCTCGCTTTCACACGTACATGCATGCACAGAGGGTTGTCTTCCCCTAATTTGTTTTCTTGAAAAGCTCTCAGTCATTTTCATTTGTGCAGCTCTAGTGTTAGTTCTACCATGCTGCTTTGATGTATTATCGCATAGATTACAATCATCCAGTTGTACCGACATTAATTGTGGACAATTTAGTCTCATTTTTTTTGTTTATTGTGCTTTATTTCATGGTGGTTGAATGGCTGGTGGTTCATATTTGCTGTGTAGATGACACTGTTGTACAAGTTGAGCTCTAGCCCATGCACATAATAACTAATTTTTTTCTTTCTCTTGATATGAGTTACCCAAAGATTGTTGGGTAATAATGGGCATAATTGTATGTTAATGTATTTCTGTACTGACTGGATTTGAAACTATAGATTTCTGGGGATCCTGCAATTGTGAAGAAAGCTCTGTATCAGATTGCAACTCGACTTCATGATAACCCATCTCGATCTCAGCATCTGCTTGCCTCTGCTATGCATTCTACCGGAGGCTCACTTGTGGGTCCAACCACAGGAGCTCCAATTGTGGGGATAGCTTCTGTCATGGGTGCTTATGGACGATATAAAGGTGACGCTGGCGGCTGGCCGAGGTCATTGTACTCAGCTCCAGGAGATGAGATATCATCAAAAGAATTTTCAGTTCGCTTGGTTTGTCCAACTGGAAACATTGGAGGCGTGATAGGCAAGGGTGGTGCTATAATAAATCAAATTAGGCAGGATTCTGGAGCAACTATCAAAGTTGATAGTTCAGCAACCGGAGATGATTGCTTAATCACCATTTCAAAAAAGGAGGTAAAATGTTGGTCACCCATTGGACCTTCTTTGTTTGATTTGATTTCTATTGTATATATGACAGTTTTGAAATTGTGATCATTCAGTTCTTTGAAGATACATTTTCTCCAACAATAGAGGCAGCTGTGTGTTTACAACCCCGGTGCAGTGAGAAAGTTGAAAGAGATTCAGGAATAATCTCATTCACAACCCGTCTGCTGGTGCCAACCTCACGAATTGGTTGCCTTATTGGTAAAGGAGGATCTATCATCACTGAAATGAGGAGGCTCACAAAGGCTAACATCCGCATCTTGTCAAAGGAAAATCTTCCTAAAATTGCATCTGATGATGATGAGATGGTACAGGTAAGTGCGTTGTTGTAATTTCATTTTTTTTTTCCTGGATTTTTTGTGTAGGCAATGGTTGTTCTTTATGCCCTATAGTTTTGAACAATTTTTATCTTTGTTGATTAGGTTTCTGGAGACCTCGATGTTGCCAAGGATGCCGTTGTGCAAGTCCTCACACGGCTAAGAGCAAATCTGTTTGATAAAGAGGGCACTGCTCCGGCATTTCTTCCAGTTTTGCCATATCTTCCTGTTTCAGCAGATGGCTCAGACTATGACAATAGAGATGGCAAACGTCATGGACGTGGACCTTTGTATCAAAGTGGCTATGGTGGCTCAAATGATTTGGAAGCTGGTGATGGTTTCGGAAGCTATGGCAGTTTACAGGTACTTGTCTACTATCATGAGATTCCCGGATGATTACATCCAGATGTCTCATAAATCACATACTCAACTATTATTTCTTACCCATTTTTTGTAATAATGTTCCAAATATCTATAGCTTGGCAGCAGCAGTGCTTATGGAGCCTATGGAAGTTATTCTTTGGGACGGGCTAGCATTTCTGGGTAACTAATCTTCCTACATACTCTGATATTTGTTTCCTTGAATTATGGTTTTTCAGTGTGTGATTTTCACTACTCAGATCAATATCTGATAATTATTGTGGATTTGTGATCTTATTGTGTAAGGTCTAAAGGGTTTGTTGAGAGCTATTAAATGAGCCCCATTGGAAACTTATGTTTTACTCCCTCTGGTTCTTATTATAAGGGCGTTTCCTATGGTCCTTTATATAAGATCTTTTGTATAAAGAGTTAATTTTTCTCTCCGAGTGTCCTATACTTTGATGATCCTTAACAAACTAAACAATCTCCTGACTAACTAGATAACCTTCTCTAATTGTTGAAATTCACTGAGGGTAATCTTGAAATTTAAAAGCATTAATTAATGTTAATTGAATTCACTAATCTCTGTAAAGTTGTTGATTGATTTTTGCAAGTGGGACCAGAGGGAGTGTTATTTATAAAAGGTTTTTCTTTTCCAACTAAAGGTTTGTTGTTTTAGGATGTGCTTGTTTTGTGAATGTTGACTTCTGTAAAGTGTTGTGTTTTCTGGTCAGTTGATACTCACCCTTTCACGAAGGGGAAATTGGGTTCATTTGTGATGGAAAATTCTAGAAATTTATAGGGGGAGGTATAATTTTTATGAAAAAAAGTTTCGGGTAGTTTATTCTTTGGGAAAACATTCTAACCTGAAACTGTTTATAGCAACTGTTTTATGCCTAAAATATTTTCCGGAGTAATGATATTTCTGATGAAAACGAACGGACCAACTTTTGCCATCAAAAGAGGGGGGAGGGGGTGTACCGAAGCTCCTTATTGACCTTGTCCATGTTGTGAAGAGACTACACTTACTGATATTTTATTCCAAGATCTTTGAGCTCATCATGCTGATATTTAGTATCTCCTACCAGGTTGTCTAGTCAGAACAATGTTTCTCGCAGGAGAAACAATGCTTACTAAAACTTGGTTGATCTGCAGGTAGACTACAGTTTTTATCCATTTTGTCTTTTATCTGGGAGCTGCCTATGATGTAGCCTAGTCCCATTGTGTATAAAAGTTTAATATCTTAACCTGACCAATATCCATGTAGAATTCTGATGCTCTTCTTTTCCCTTTGTTGCCTTTCCCTTCCCATCCAAACAGCTGAGATTTGTGAAGCCTGAAGCCTGCCTACTGCCTTAACCAGAAGACCAGATGAACCAGGGTTTGACAAACTCATGGCCCTCCCTCCTTGACGCTTCTACTTAGTGGACCAAACATACGTGGAGACTATTAAAATCGGCCATGTCCTTTTTACCTTGATTCCCCAGCTTGATAACTTGTGCTACCAAGAACCTATATAGTCGCTTGCCTTTGTTGCTGCTTTCTGATTCTAACGTGTCTTTAGAATTAAAAATTCTGCGATGCTGTGATCCTTGGGTGGTTATATATTTGTACCGTTGCTCTTGGGTTTTGTTTTCCTAATTGTTCAGCATTGTTTGGATTACGAACTTTTTGGTTATTTGAATTTAATGGTGTTGATTCCTGGTAAGTTGTTCTTCACATCAAATTTTGGTGGAGCCTTGTGTCATCTGTATTGCAGGTGTCAATTTCTTCCTCTATCTATCACTGGAAGCAGGTGACGGTATGTTGCATTATTTGCCTGTGAAACTTCATTCTTAAAAATTGAAGAGTACTTATTTGTTGAATTAGTAAAGGTATGAACGTATTGCAGCTCGCTCTACTAGGTAAGAAAGCTAACTTGACTAGGACAGTGTATTGGGTGGGAGGCATGTTTTATCTTTGGTGATCCAGAAATGTCCCTGTATGTTCATCTCCTTCCCGAGTTACCGATACGGTACATTATTCAATATCTCAAATTGCGCAACCGGTGCATAGTCTTTTTCTGAGCTTAATCGGCATTACAGCATTTTAGAATTCCATCAGTTTTTCTTTTACATTTAAACAAAGACTTTGATGGGCTAAGGGGTAGGACAACCGAATTTGCTTTTAGGCATCTTCCAGTCTTTCAAGAGGTTGCATCGTCTTACCAAAAAAAAAAAGAGGTTGCATCGTGTGAATAAAATGTTTCTGTGCCATTTTGATGATTCGAGGAACCTTGATACCTATCCAAGTGATATTGGTAGGGACTCTGAGCGATTGAAATTTGGCTGTTGATGTGATAGGCGCACAATATCATTGGGAAGATTTTATTTTTTATTGTGATTTGCTGACATGCAGCTTTGGCAAAACGATATTCAGGTTCTTTGTAACTTTTTGTTTTGGTGTAAAGTTCCTTGCAACTTATTTTTAATCATTAGGCAGGGCGTTTTAGGTATAAGTGCGTCGAGCAAAATTATGGGCCTTCGGTTGCCGAGCGATTCTACCTTTCTGATTGAGTTGCTCGTTACGGACCGCAAGAATCTTTTTAAAAAAATGACCAAAAAAAGTTGAAAATTACTAAATTTTAAATTAGGTTTAGTAATAATACTTTATTTAGTGTTAATAATACTGAATTTGTAAATAATAATAAGTTTTTATTGACATTTGTTATTTGGTATTTAGTAATTTTTATCTTATTTTTTAGTTATTTTCTCAAAATTTAATCTAAAAATAATAATAACAATAAATTTTGGAATTCGAGGAAGCAGGTGTTGGGACTTGGGGGGTGGATATCAATTCCTTTTGAAATGATTACAGTCATTTTCTTGTTTAGTGTATGAATATGCACTCCTTCAAGGTCAAAAAAAGAATATGCTCTCCTTTCGAACGGGGGTCAAGAACCAACTCACTGATTAAAAATGATAGTTTGAATGAGCAAATTCATAATTAATTTGATTGATTTCTTTTTATTTTTTAATTAGTTTTTATATTAAGAATGGAAATTAGTATTAATAATGATGTTGCACACCATGCTGATTACTCGATATGATGGCCCAAAAAAGGCATGTTAATTTATTTCTACTGCCTGGTTATAAGAAGACAATGCATTAATCTGTCAGATAATGGGTCCGTTTGGGACCACGTTTGGGCCTCCAAATGTGCGTTCCAATTTGGCTTTTAATGTGACTGTGATTTTATATGTTTGGATCTGCGGTGGGGCTATCTGATTTCTGTCACTGAAATGTATTTATACAATAAGCTCAAAAAAATTGTTTTTTTCTAATCTGATTTCTGTAAAAGTTAGATTAAAAAAAAAATTACTTTTCCACCGTTAATCTAAACACACCCATGTAGATGTTTTATGCCCGCATCACCAGCTTTATGAAATTATCCATTAAATTCTGTTAAAAAAGGTTGTCCATTGAAAGAACTTAATGAAATTATCCAGACCGGACGCTTCGCGAATCGAGATGGTTTCAGACTTCAGACCTTGGTATATGAACTTCAAAAAGTCATAGGGACGCTCATTACACAGGAGCTCTCAAGATACGTTGTGGTCGACCATTCATATACCCAATTGAATTTAATATTTTATGCGTTGATTCAGCAACGTAGTGGCTGAAAAATGGCAGCTTGAACTCGACATCTTTTTAGTTTTTTTCCTGTATGTTTCAAAGGAAGAGGAAACCAACGATTTTGTTTGTAAATCAGTAACTCCAATCAAATTTGCCGGCGTCGCTACCGTTTATAGAGATAAAAATTAAAATTTTAAAAAAATGTTGTGTCAGCAAGAGGATAAGAATTCAGAGCTTTTTCCCGTGAAAGCCTCACCTGTTTGCCAGAAATAATCGTGGTGTGTTTCTTTACGTCCAGTTGTAGTAATTCAAATCCACCTAATTAAACTGACACCGGACACTTTTATAGTACAAGTTCTAGTGAGATGCTGTCCCTTCAACTGAGCCAGAGCCTTCAAGGAAAAGGTTTTCTCTTGAATGACCCTCCACGTTCCACAGTATGGTGGTCTGAGAACCTATTCAGAGCTGAAGCTATGCCTTCTCTTTAAATATTTTTTGGTTCTATCACCAAAGCAAAAGTCACATCTAGCAACAAGAATGCCCCAAGTTACTCAGCTTTTTCCCTTACCCTTTTAGACAAAGGACAGCAATGGGACAGTTATAGGGCTGTCCCCACTGGTGGAAAATGCTAGCCTCATTAATGCATGTGTTTGCTTTGCTTCCCAACTTGCATAAGCAATCTCTTTATGCGAACCTCATGTATTGCATTTCTTTTAGCCTCAAAACCCCCATTCGTCTATTCCCTGCCAAACGCGGCATTGTAGTCCAATTGGCTTCTTCTCCTCTATCAGATAACAGATAGAGGGAAGGTCTGTTACTGATCTTCGTTTTAATAGGGATTGCCGTCTTCCTCATTCGGGAAAGTTCCTGCTCTTGTATTGTGTTCATGCCAGTGAATCAGTGATATACTCTCATTTCATTGGCTACAGCCCAACACCATACTATCAGATTGTCCCTTTTCTTTTCTGTGGTAAAAACAGTTACTTTGTGGTTATTGGTCCTTGAAAATTTCATCAAAAGTCTAGCATGTGGGGATGAGGTCATGTGATGCAGCCAAGGATGACTTGCCGGCAAGGTTTGGTTTGTATAATAAAAGTGACCGGCAAGTCATCTCTGGCTACATGAGACCCTCATTTTCTCATGCTCGGTTTTTAGATGAAATAGCCCTACTATCACTTCTGGAGATCGCATACACTTCTCAGAATTTGGAACTGACTAATGCAACTGTAAGCTGCTTAGAAGTTTAATGGACTTTCATGCCAGCGGAAAACATGGCACATAAAGTACGAAAATACAAACTCTGACAGTTAAATATTTAAGCTTTCAAGTTCCTCTTCAGGTTGATGTAATCAATCTTGCTGACTTTTGCAGGTTTTATGCGCACCCCGTTTGTGTCAAGTTTCCCTTGACTTCGCACCAAGGAATGAAGCAGTGATTACTACTGCTAAAATTTTCCAAAACTTGAGTATAATATCTCACATGCAATTTATCATGCATCATTTTCTACTCATTATTTTATCTTCATTACAGTGCGGAGATTTGATTACTGTCTTCTCTGGTAGGAATATTATTGAAATGATTCCAAGTTGTTACGCATGTATGGAGTGGTAAGTACTTGTCACTTCTTGTTTCATCACCTACAAAGCTAGCTAGTGTTCCTGTTTGCACTCTTGGCTATCATAGAGGCACAACTTTGCAATTCAAGGTGGCTGGCTCCACATACGAGATCCGTTGCAGTTTTCAGGGACCAATGAATACAACTCACAAGATTAGGTTACCCATTTTCTTTAGGCTTCAGTGTTGAGTTGCGACTACAGAGTTATTATCCATATGCAGCAAGAAAAAAGAAGCCTCTCTAAAGTTTCATCTGATTGCTCATGTGCTACAGTAAGTTTCTATCACGTACAGGGCTTCTTCTCTACCGTAGGATGCAATTTCTCGAGGTTGTTTCATTCATTTTCACCATAATAGAATAGCAGCAAATTGTTCTGGAAAATTTATGGAGACAAGACATGCAAGCAACTCTGCTCCGGATCTAGCCACTGTAAGCGGCTATTTCAAGGTTCTTTTATATCAATATATTCTATGGCTTCTCATGGAACCGTTATTTTTTTTATATGGGAGATAAAAAAAGGTCTCTTGTCTTTAATTTTTTCTAACGTTTCCTACATCTGATCCTGCAAAACCTGACTTTTACTGTCACCTTGTTTTCGTGAAGTTTAGTAACTATGGTAATCAAGACTGGTGTGTATGTTACTAGCAAGACCAAGAAGGTCGAATTAACCAACCCTTATTTACCAATATATCCTTGAAAGGAGACTTCTTAATAAATAAAATGCAGAGAATTAGGTTCACATTTGAAATAGGAGGCGAAAAAACAGTACATATAATCAAGACACACAGTGGGCTTTGGGAGTATTGAGAAAGTTGAGACAATCGGAAAGTAAAACCCAGAAAAGCAAAAAGGATCAGGAACTAGATAGATATAAGACCTTCTCGTACGAGCAAACCAAACATGAGGACGAACAGGCCAACTGTGATGCATTGAGTTGGGGTTATGAAGGTTTGTGAGTATGCAGATAAAGTCAATACCGCACCAACAGCTCCAATCAGAAGGGCAATCATGTTCTGACTCATTTCTTCTACAAGGAGGGGGGGAAAAACCAGGGACTCTCTTCTTCTCCTGCTGCGACTTGCTTCTTTCTCTTGATGCAGGAAGAACCCTCTTCTTTCTCGTTTTGATGGGCAAAGGACCGATCTTGGAATTCTGTTCTGGCTTTGAGGGAAAGTCAACTCTTGTTTCACTATCGGAGGGCAGGTCATGCAATATTTAATGTAAGATCAATTTGATATGATCTACATTAATGAATATTGACAGGGTCAAGATTCCTTTGTCCTGTTGCTTAATATTTTTTTGACAAAATATTACTTTAGACCTCTGACTTTACATAATGTTTTAATTGAAACTGGGTGTAAAAGTAGATTTGTTGGGTTATTTGTCAGCCGGCGGCAAGCGGTAGATTAGATACTCTAATGCATGTCCTGTAAGCTCATGAAGGAAAAGGACCACAAAAGCTTGGACCCATGTGCTATGTATTGTAACTATAGGAACGTGGTTGTTTAATATAATAGTTTATACGTGTGTGTGTGACTATTTGCCATATGAATATGCCAATAAAGTGACGATATAGGAATTTAAGTTATGTAATAAACATTATTAATTAAAAAGCATCATAAAAACTGGAATTGCGATGAAGGATCACGTCGTACCTATTATTAAAAAGCACTCTGGTGCCTTAATAGAGGAATCACACTCTACATTCATCCTTTTTCTTCTTTCTCAACCTCCAAGTTTTGTATTGGTTAAAAAATGGCGAATTTATTATAGAATTTTATTTTTTTTATTTTGTTTATTTTGTTTCTTAGCAGTTAGCATCATCAACATTGAATATCATTATGACCTTCAAAATCTTTTTTTTTGAAAAATTATAAATAATATTTGAGAAAGATAAAAAAATTGGTTGTTGTATTTGCTTTTCTTCTAACAAACTTTGACTAGATCAACTGGAATTTTCCTTTAACAGCGATTCAACCGCCTAACAATATCAGTGCAATTACACTGCCGGATGCAGAAGCAAATGCTTATAGGTTATTAGTCGTGACTGAAAGGTGAAGACATCCTCGGAATATAGACTGGAACCCACAATCCCATTGTCAAGTTCCAGTTATTTTCCCAGCGATGGAATATTGTTGTCAAAAGAGACCTATAAATATCACATGATTCTATGGATTAGATCATATTCAGGAAAATATATATGAACCTAGTAGAAAATGGGATTGGATGGCGTCTTATAGCCAATTTCGAAGCTATGTTTGGCTTCTTGACCTCGACTTAGGTTTTGAATCAAACAAATAATGCATCAGTGCCCTGTCATCTGCTTCAACTACACTATACCCAGGATTCTTCTTTACGCCACCCTCATCCATCAACTTCCTTACTTTTTCTGCCCCAACCCACTCACCTCTTGAGGCATATACATTAGACAACAATACATAGTCACCACTCTCGTCCTTTCTCATTCCAAGAAGCTTTTCGTTCGCCAGTTTTGCCAACTCCACATGTCCATGAACTCTGCAAGCTCCAAGCAGAGTCCTCCATATTACCGCATTAGGTTCAATGTTCATTGATTCTATGAAATCAAACGCTTCCTTCAATAGTCCAGCACGCGCCAGCATGTCTACCATACAACCATAATGCTTGATGTTGGGCTCAATTTTACGCTCACTCCTCATATGGTCAAAATATCGATAACCCTCGTCAACTTTACCAGCATGGCTGCAAGCTGCCAAGACTCCCACAAAGGTGATCTCGTTTGGTCTGATTGTGGTCCTCTTCATCTCCCTGTACATATCAATTGTTTCCTCAGCATGGCCATTGAAAGCTAAGCCTCCTATGACTGAGTTCCACGAGGTCACATCTTTGTCTCTCATTCCTCTGAACACTTCAAGCGCCTTTTCGATGCTTCCACACTTGGAATACATATCAATGAGTGCATTCCCAAGTAATGTGCTCAAGTCTTCTGAAAACATTTCCCGGATGTAGCTATGTGTATTTTGTCCGATGTCCAAATCTCCAAGTTCGGCACAAGCAGATAGCAGGCTCAACATTGTCACTTCATCTGGGCGCTCCCCAACTTTTCTCATCTCCTCGAACAATTCCATTGCCTGCTCATGCGAGCCACAAAGCACGTAACCTGCGATCATTGCGTTCCAAGTTACCACGTCTCTCTTTGGAACTTCGTCAAACAGCTTTTTCGCGCTCTCCATCTCCCCTTGCTTAGCATACGCAGTTATCATTACGTTCCAAGAAACTAAATCTCTCACGGGCATTTCATCAAATAGTTGACGAGCGAGACTCAGATCCCCTCGCTTGGCATATGCCGTGCTTAGTGCTGACCAGGGGACTACGTCCGTCTTCGCGTGATCATCAAAAAGTGCGTTCGCAATCTTCAAGTCCCCACAATTAGCGTGAAAGAATATAAGAGTATTTCGTACCGATGGATTTGACAGGAACCCGAATTTCACAACCCTACCATGAACTGCTGTACCCGTCTTAACCCACAAAAGCTTTGTGCAAGCCTTGAGCACGAAAGGGAAAGTGAAGCTATCGGGCTTTATACTTTGATTATCCATTTGGGCGTACAGAGCAATTGCCTTCACGGGATTTGAGCTTTGAGCAGAGGCTCTGATCATGGTGTTCCACATGAAAATATCTGGTTCATCGATATGAGCAAACACATGGTGGGCATACTCTATGGTGCTCACAAATTCCATGGCACTTGTGAAAATGAGCTCTCTGATGTATCGAACGTTTGAGTTGAAGCCATTGACGATCATGTAAGCGTGGATCTGTTTGAGAGTTCGAAAGTTGCAGCATTTTTGCCATATACTCGATCGCCCGCGGCGGTTAATGCCGCTTCTTTTTCTGATCATCAGACTCACAGCCGGCCCCCTATGTTTCTAATCTCAATTCCCTGAATAAACATGAACACAGTTCAATGAATAAAACGCGGGGATAAAAGTTGTAAGCTTATTAGTTTCTATTTATCTTCCTCGGTAGTAGTCTGCAAATTTTCATTCACTTGCATTTCAAATGAGTAGCAATAGCTAATGATTTGAAGAAAAAGACTGACTTAAGCGATCCATTTAATTAAGCCCTTTGTTTATCGCCATATGGATATGTCTCTAATCATCGCCCAAAGTTTTTATCAGTCAACAATTACCAATGTAAGATACAAAACCTTGACAAACGCTATATATACATATGTGTGTATTACAAATCATACAATTTCATTTGTCAAGTTTTATGTGATACATCATATCTACTTCTAGTGAAGTCATAGAGTAAAATTACTGACCAAAGCAATATCAAAGATTATTTTTATATAAAATTCACAAAGACTAATTTTTTTAATATAATTATATGATACCCAATATTATCACCTCAGATTTGATTAATATTACCAGGCCTAATTGAGGATAACTTTTTTAATCTATTTTTTCATACACACTAATCCTCAATCTAACTTAACAAAATCAAGTCCTTTTTTTTTTAATCTAACATAGGACTCGTTAAAATTTTTTACAAGCACATTTCACATAAGTGAGATAAAATTTTTATCATATATTTATCTCGTGATTCGTTAATCACGGATAAACAACTGATTATAAGCTATCTTAACCGGTCCTGATCATATATTCGTAAATATTTTTGCCAGAACTCCAAACGACAGCCAGAGAGTATAAGTATGCTAGTGAGCCCAACAAAATAACTGAATTCAAGGAACTGGCCCTTTGAGAGTATGGGCCATGGCTGTCTCATTAAACCTAAGACTGGGCCTTCTGGACGGAATCAGTATTCTCTGAAAAAATCGCCAAAAAAGAACATGAGATTTGTTCAATAGAGACGATTTGGCGCGCGAAATGTTCATCATCATTCAACGGTTAGGATTTATACTCCCTTTGGTTAAGGAACTTCCATTCAATGGATTTTCGGAATGCACGAGTTGGATTCCATTCCATTTCTCTTTGATAATCTAGCTTACGAGGAAGGGAGACATGAGCAAGAATTCATATATCTTCGCGAGTTAAGATCATTGAGGCTTACTTCGTCCACGCAATGACATATGACAGTTACCAGCTGGTTAAGGAAGAGATCGTTATGGTTATCTTGAATTATTTCTTTAGTTATTTATTTTCACGGAGAACTTTTGTTGAAGCCTTCGTTCATGCTGGTCATCGCACAGTCGTTCCCATTATGATCCACGCAAGTCTCTAAATGAACTTAGATGTTTGTATACTGTTTCTTCCAAGATGGCTTCCATTATCGAACTTGACTCGAGCAAGCTATTTTTCCAGGGTGCTTCAAAAGCCATCCTGATTTTTAAGAAATCACTTGGAGTAAGTGATTTGTAAGAGTAATCTCTTACTCCGGTAAGAGCTGGTCTGGTTTACCATCTCTAGGGAATGGTTACAAAGCTTGTCCTTTTTACTACTAGCTTGATGATCACCGCTTTAAGGAAAAGCTTACATTAATGGGGCGAAACCCACCGAACAAAAAAAGCTTAATGGGGTGAAACCCACCGATTTCTTTTTCTGATGAGTCTACCCTAAACATTAATGAAAGGAGGAGATGACTTAGAAAAAGTTAGCTAGGTCCCTCATTGGGATGGATAATTTTAGATACAGCCGTGCGATGTAAGGATGATGAGCCCAGCAGCATTTGTTCAAGAACTCGAGATCATTTTCAAATATTGAATGCAAGCTTGGGGATTTTGATCAGCAGTTGGAGGAATCTATGCTGAATCTGGAAACGCATTAAGTAAACTAATAATCCCGCACATGAATGTAATCAAAAGTTTCAACCTACTCAGCTCAAGGTTAAGCTTTAAAACCTTAAAAGTCGGTTTCACCTGATGATGCCTTCATTATGACATTTTTGGAAGTGTTTTCTTCGGTGAAAAAGACATTTCAAGACATGGTTTTATGATGAGTTATGACAAATAATTTATATGCTTATCTCCTAACAGACCTTGTAGAGAAATAAAATGTGATTTACTCCTCAGTGATCGGTGATTTAATGAGATCAGGCCCGCCTACCTACGGCACGTTATGTATTTCCTGTTTCGATTTGACCTCTGATATATTATCGAGTTTATTTTTTTCATTTATATTACCATCATATTTAGGCATCACCAAGATTCTTACCTTCTACGACAGTGGTAAAGGATCAGAAGTTACTCTACCCTTCAGGATCAACTAGTGACTTAATGTTTTAAATGTGCTTCCTCATCACCTGGGTTTTACTGGTGACATGGGTGCCTTTAGCTCAATCAGATTTTTTGTTAGAACAGGAAAACTGAAGTACAGAGATTATTATTGTTAACAATTTTATAACGATTTCACAGATATTCCTTGTAATTTTTATATTTATAACTCCTAGTCCTCAAATCATAGTTGACCAATTACTGAGCTTACCAACTTCCTTGATCATTCTCTGGTCAGAGGGTATTCCGATTCTCCCGCTGGAGCCAAATTAGTGTTGAGGGTGCTTGTGAATTGTGTGACTCAGTAAACGTTGGCTGGCTCAATTATGTGTCCAGTGAAAATGATAGCTTTTCTGGCAGACACTGAATTGAAGCACATACTGAGATGAATGCCAATGGTAAATTGAAAAGATTTATTATTTCTGGAAACGATTCATGAGTCGATTTTCATCCCTTACTGTCGGGCATCGCGGACCACGTGGGACTCGCATGACTTTGACAAGTGTAAGGGGCTGTCATTTAATAGGATCATTATGACTGTGTTGGACCATCACAATGCCAGAGCTGGCAATGATCAAAGAAAATTTAAGAAGGTGTCCCCATTGTCCTTCCTCTAGCCTATATGAGTCTTGGATCCATGAGACCTTTTCCATCGCACAACAGATACACACATTTAAGTTTTTCTATATGAGCTCTTTTTCATCTATGGGCCAGTTCTTTAGTCTTTTCATGCTCCAAATCCTTCAAGATGCCCTCCCGCAACCTTCTGAGCCCCACCTTAATAAATTGCTCGTGTTTCTCCCCCAAGATTAAAAACTCGGTCGTTAAGGAAGTTCTTCAGTGGAATCAGTTCATCACAGTCCCAGCCATTAAAATGTCCACCTTTTTTGGCAGCTCAAGTTTCTGATCTGGGTAACTGTCGACTTATGGGTTAAGATCTACCATCATCTTTCGTAGATGCCTTCTTAATTTATTTGGGTCTTCTGCTTTTTCTCAAAATATTACTTGTGGCTCTTCAATAAATTTTAAGGAAAGTAAAGTCCTCCATGAACTGGGTCTGCTCATTCTTACCTATTCGCGGCACTCTATGGGAACCAGGGTAGCTCCATAATGTGAAAACAAGACTTTTCACGACAACGGGCTTCTGCAGTATCTCTTCCGCTAATATTAGATCAAATGCTACTAATTTTGATACTTTCTGATTGGGACCTCTCTATATGTGCCATTGCAAAATGGACATAAATCAATGCAACTATGAAAGATTATGAGGATGCATTTGCCTCAATGTTTTACTACAATTAGGCCCTTCATTTAGTAGTCGCAACGGTCTTAAAGTGATCACAGTATTCCATCTCCTTCAATGCTTGTTCGATGCACCGGGTTGATTTCATGTGTAGGGGTTAGCATCCAAACACACTCATATCGTAGTCATTTTGCAAAACGTAACCCTCAAGTCAGTGATCCAGTCCAGGTCCTCCGGAAAAAGAATCCTTACAAAAGTCTAGGTGCATTATTTAATTTTATCACAAAACGTAACCTTAACATACCGTGCATAATAAAATTTATGCCAAGTTATATTATATACATATGTAACATAAAAGAGTTCCCCACCAAAAGCGTGCCAGTCGAACCTAATCCTATTGGACTTGTTAATCCAAACCAATTAGCTAGTCTGTGTGGTAGCCATATGACATCCTAGCTGATACTGTCATCAGTTGATCTGATTGACTGAGTCAGACATGACTCATGCATTTTTTACTCAGAAGGTTAATGTGTAGAAGTCGCTCGCATCAGAACTGGAACTCCTTTTGATCTGTTGGTAGGCTGTAGTCGACCTCTCTAATGGACTGCTTTGGTGGCTGGTAAAGACGCTAGATTGTTTTGTAGACTATAATTTATCTACATTATCACTGACTAGGGGCAAAGTTTCAGTCAACTTTTTTGCGTCAAACCTTACAAGAAAAGTACGATACAAATTTTGGTTTAGTTGAGACCTCACGTTTGTAGTCTGCATACTGTGGAGGGGCCATATAAGTGAATTCTCCGGCTGAACTTCACTGAAACTAAGCTTAACTTTAAGCCCTTCCATTAGTTGTATTCTGCTATATGCTCCTGTACTTCACTATAAACAGAAATTTGTGTACTTTAAATTATTCAAAAGGAGGGAGAGAGAGAGAGAAGAAAAAAATCCACACAGCAGTCGATATGATGGATGGATAAAATAAAAATTCGTGTGGACCAATATGATGAATAATTAAAACCGGCCCTAGCTATGCCATAAATTTTGGGTGACGTATTACTAAAAAGTTATGGCTATTACTCGGTTAGCTCATTGTTGTCAATAGGATTAAAATTCCACTCTAGTGTAATGAAAAGACAAAGAAACCGCCATATTTTCGTTTCTGCCCTTTTATGCTATTACATCAATGCATATGCAAATCCCCAAGGCCAAAAGATGGAATATAAACGCTCAGTCGGAAGGGTACTCTTGTAATGATAGCTCACATATACCCTGTCAAATTAATTTCTTATCCCATTTATGCCGCTGACCTTTCTTCTCTGCCCATCTCTTCATTTACTAGTCACAGTCCTCCCCCTCCTTTCCTTTCCCCATAGCTTTCTCCCCTTGTGCTATATAAAGAAGAGGAGAAGCTACTACAGTCTTTAGTGTTACACTTCCGAATGGGTCGGTCACCATGCTGCGACAAGGTGGGCTTAAAGAAAGGACCATGGACTCCTGAGGAAGATCAGAAGCTGTTAGCTTATATCGAAGAACACGGCCATGGAAGCTGGCGTGCCTTGCCAGCAAAAGCTGGTAATTT